AGTAAATCTAGAGACAAATTCTGTGAGGATATCATAGTTGTTTCCCCTTGTCAGCTTCTGTGTTTCCATCCACGAGTGTAATTCCTGTAGTCTTTGAGATCATATTGATACAAGAACATCATCAACTGTGAATGTATACTTCCTGTCATTGACTGGAAATGTTTGTGACTGTCTAGCTATTTAAGTTTCTTTCATATGTTCTGGTTCTATATCTGAATCTTATGTATTAACTTCTACCTGATGGGTGGTTTCCATAATCATATCTTTTGAGGAAGTATATGAATCTTCTGAAGAAGCATAATTACAATATTCTTAATCTGATATGTTACCTTCATGCTTCTCCTTAAGGCTAACTGCAAAAAAATTTTGGATAGTGTTTTCTCTGTATTCTTTGAGAAAGGAGGTCAGAGGGTTCTTCTGACCTTGTTGAATCATCAATGCCATGGAGAATTTTAGAGAATAAAATGGATCATCATCTTTTTCTTGGTTTAGTCTCATCCATTTATCTCTTTCTCTTTTTTTCTCAGCTTCTTGTTTCTTTATCTGCTGATAAAGCTCATAAATTGATGGCTTCTTTGTTTTTGTAGGCAAAGAGGAAAATAGTAACCCCTGCGAGGGCTTCATCTGTCTCTTGAAAGAGGCAAACATAGATTATGAAGGTTCTGGAATGGATCTCTTCAGAGATGGGAAAAGTTCTTCTCTTTTAAGGGGTTACGGAACTTGTCATGTTTCTTCAAGTACTTTAATATTCTCTTTTAGCTTCTTGATTTCCTTTTTCTTTTGTTTGAGATGGAAAAAGAAATCTTGTCCCGGTGAGGTAATTTCTTTTTCAACTTGTTGTAATCTTTTATGAAACAATACAATTAGCTCATTGACAATTTTTGTATTGGCATCTACTTTTGATTCCACATGGTTGAGCTTGTCATCTATCTAGGTAATCTTGGAGTCAATCTTCTTTAAGGTAGCGTTTTGAGTAAGAGCATTTTCTGTTTGCCAATTAAGAGTTGATTCTGCTGCATTGATCTTTTCACCTTGTAGTTGGACTAAAATCTTTGGAGCATGTTTATATTCTTTCTCAGTGAATTCCTCAAGAAGAGGAAATTCTTTATCATGAAGGGTTTGATGGTTGAAACATATAGATTGCAGGAACTAGTTGGTCATGTATTGGTGATTTTTGTTATGGGTGTTTACTAACCCATTTTTGAATTTTCTTGTAGCAAGATTGGGTCAATTTTTCTGGGTTTATTTTGGGTGTTGGAGGTGGAAGATTTGGTGGAAAATATTTTGGAAGTGTATCACTCTGTTTGTTTGTAGGGATTTGAGATAAATAATCCACAAGGAAAATTAATTTTCCATTGTCTTCTCCGAGAGGTCTAATAGTAGGATTTACTTGCATATATCTTCTAGAGACTAGAATGAGAAGCCTTTTTTCTTTTTCTTGCCAACCTTGTAAGGATAATATGTTGTATGATGATTTCCTTCAATCCATGTATCAAATCTATCATCAGCACAAAGTTCACACGAGCATTCAGGATCCCATGGATAATGACCTATGACTGGATCTTTATGCATATATATTGGCTTTCCAGAGACATCAAAATTTTCTATATAGGATATTTCAAAAATGGGCTTACAAAGCTCATACTAACAATTTGGATCTTTATTGTCATGAGCTTTTATGGGATCTCCAAGTGACAACATCATCAACTATGTGGGGAAGATTGATGGTGTTGGTTGTTTTTGTTGTAGATGACTATGATCAAATCTTATCTCCGAAGTTCCATATTCTTTGGAGACAATCTTGCTGTTGTAGGACCCGACTGATTGTTTTCTTTGATGAAATTGCTCATAATTTGTTATCCACCTGTCTGGTAACAAATGCAACAGTTCTGCTCTTGGAATTTAGCGAGGTACATGAACACAGTGTGATTGTTCCCGTGTGTTAACTGAAATCCAAAGTGATGAATCACTAGATCTGCTTCTAGTGAGTTTGAAAGCATGATCTTGAACTCTATTCACTATTTGATATTGAAGAGTTGCAATTATTGAAGATTCTACCTACGGGCTCCAACTATATGGATATGAACTTTTAAAGTATCCATAAGAATTCTGCAAGGGTCACGGTAAAATTTGGAAACAAATTTACCATTACAAGCACATTGTTCATAGTAGCCTCAACAGTATCAATACAAGCATCTTGGTACTTTAGATGACGTGTATCCAGTAAAGCAATTCTTGCTACTACTGATTTTCCTTCGGTGCCATCATAATTAAGAGCTAAGCGAAATGCACCAAAATGAAAATGAGAATGTTTTTGAACATTTTCCTGGGAAATCTGGAGGAATTTCCAAAGTTACAAATTGTTCTGTTGTGGATCCCGTGATAAAGTGTTTATCAAACAGAATGACTGGACATATTCTTTAACACCTTTAGAAGATGTATGAATAAGATATTTAATACTTTTAATAGAAAAAAGGATGATTTTCTGCAAGTAGAGTAGGGATTTAAAAGAGGAAGTTTTGTAGGTTAAAATTTCTCATCTTCAGAATAGTTAACTTCATAAAATGATGAGATCTTTTTAGCTATATGAATTTTAAGGGAAAAATCTCCCATGGTAACAAGTATTTGGAAGAATAAGCTTTTGCTAAAGTACTTTTTGACATGATTTTAGGATTTATTCTTTCTGGAATTTTTATAAAGTGAATAAATAGATCTAGGATTATAACTCTGATACCAAACAAGATGACAGAGTTGACCGAAAAGATGATCGGAGTACTGTAGCAAGTATGTTTTACCAGAATGAGACTTTTCCATTATAAATAAAGAGACAAAGAATCCAATTCCAGTAGGGACTCACTTCAGTTGGGGGAGAGATAAGCTGATTAGACCCAGTAAGCTTGGATTACCAGTTCTGACAATGAAGTCAGTAGGTTTATTACAATCTTGAGGAACCCATACAACATCAGTAATCCAGTCGTTGCATCTAAGAGCATCGATAAATCTAACAAGTGAGAAGGGATTACAAGTGGTGTTTGGATCGTTCATCATGTTTATAGCTTCAACACAACCATATTAAATCCGTAGCAATTCAAATCATTTCTTCTGGACACACTGAAGACCAATGAGAATCGCCCAAAGCTCAACTTGAATAACGGATACCATCCCAATTGTTTTTTGGAAACCAGAAAGCCAAGCCCCAATATAGTTAGTTCCATTGAAAATGTATTCAATGAATAATAATAAATTCAGGTTGACGAGAGACGATACTATTTCAATGAAAGTGTTTAGTCGATTGTTATATTTATAATTTATTATATTTTTATATTTTTTATGTTTTATTTTATTTTTTATATTTTAATGTGTTTATAATAATTTTATGAATATTTTAAAGTTTAAATTTTAGATAAATTTACTGATTTTCAATTAATTTAATTATAATTTTAAATTCGATTAAAAAAATCAATAAATAAAGTATAATAAACTATTGCGTTAACACCATTAACTGTTATATTAATATTATAACAATCAATCTAAATCAAAGGATAATTTTATACAAATAATTTTAAAACAAAATTGATACAATAAAAAGGTAAAAATAATCGCTTGATTCAGATTTACCTCAACAACAAAATAAGCCATTAACACTCTTTTATATTAGGATAAACTATACATTTAGTATCTAAATTATTAGTTTTAGTATTTAAATTTTTAATTTTTTTAAAATTATACATAATATTTAGTTTTGTTTCATTTTAGTACTCCAATGTTAAAAATTTAACACAACTTTTGCACGTGATATTTTATGAGTAAATTACATCATTCATCACTTAACTATCTTCTCACTCATATTTTGGATATTAAAGTTTAAAAATTTTCAATTTAACTACTCAACTTTCAAATTGCTCATGTTTTAATCACTCTAACTTATTTTATTAATAATATTTTGTGGCATGATATTTTTTAATTACTTTATTAATATATAATTAAAATAAAATATTAAATTTGAAACTTAGATTGATTAAATTAGGAGTAATTTAAAAATTAAAGTAATTAAATTAAAAATAAATAAATTTTAATGACTAAAATAATAGTGAGAAGATAGTTGAGCGATGAATGATGTAATTTATCCATAAAAAAGTTCCAGGTTGTAATAGTTCTGCTAAGTTTTTAACGGCTAGTATTAAAGTGAAACAAAACTAAACGTTAGGTATGATTTAAAAAATTTGAAAGTTTAAATACTAAAACGGATCAAAACTAATAATTTAAATACCAAATTACTTTATTTCATCTAATGATGCAATGGAAAAAGACATGTAATTGTCATAATAAAGTAGGGTTTCCAGATAGGTCGAATACCGTCTCAGTCCCAGAGCAAAGCCGTTAACATCCACCAGGACCACCACTGTTTTAATCAAGCAATTGATTTTAATAAATATATTAATAATCTGGAGATTTCCATGGGTAGATTTGATCTAATCCTAAATTAAAATTTTAATAAAATTAATTTCGGGAGATTGACAAATAACTTAGTCCATGGTAATGTAAACACAAATAACACAATTTATTAATAATTAAACTTTTGATCAGGGTTTTAAATAACGTTCGCGGTCACGTTTTCAGTCGCATCGCGTTTTTCACGGTTGCGGATATACCGTTATTTTCCGCGATAGTAGTTTCGGACACTGCCGCAACCGTGATATAACGATCATGATATCGTAATTCGGCCGCTATTTGAACCTGGTTTTGATTGATCACAAATTTGACTATAATTGCAGCTTATCTTATTCATTTTCAGTGAATTAATATTGTAGTAATAAAGGAGGGAGGTTAGGAAGCCCACACTATAATGGTGGGTGGGTGGGAAAATAAGTAGGGACTGCAATGACTGAGACGATTTCATGGAGTCCTCACCCGATTGGCCACGAGGGCTAAGCCTAAGTCTCCATAGCAGAGCTGAATACACACATGTATAAATATGTATGGGCAGAATTGAGAAAATGCAGCAAAAAAGAGTCCAACGAGAAGGATGGAAACGATAGAGGGAGAGATGAAGGAGATGAGGGAGTGTTACAGGAATGGCAACACCAAACCTATAGCGTGGAGGAGGTCTCAGCTCCAAGCCTTGCGATCTTTCCTTCACGATCATGAGGTTCAAATTTTCAGGGCTTTAGACCTCGATTTAGGGAAGCATTATGTTGAAGCATTCCGAGATGAGGTACGCACAAGCATCCTTTTCTTATTTTTCTATGAATCTCGATTATTATTTTACAATTATTTACTTGTTATTATTCCTGATAATTTTCTTACTTAAATTTGCAGGTAGGACTCCTGAAGAAATCAGTGAATCTTGCACTCAAGGATTTGAAAAGATGGATGTCAAGCACAGAGGTAATCATCCTTCACATCTTATTATTGCTTGCATGACTTGATTAAATCGTAGTATTCTGTTCTTTCATTATAATTTTTCAAGTGATTGGGAGTCTTTTATAATTTAGTGTAATGATGAGAAAATTATATTGTTATCAAGACATCATTCAGAATCAAAAGTAAACGATATTTTCTTCCCTCAAAAAAAGTAATTGATTGAGGAAAAAAAGTGCAGTTTTTTAAGCAATTGTATGATTAAAATAAATAAATAAACTTCAATATCATTAATTTGACACATTTATTGTGAGTACACATGTTTGATAGTTGCTTGCTGTCTACGGTGTCTTGGGTAGGGTACTACTCCATCTAGGCGAATTCTACTCCAAATTCCTGCACATCTCGATTAGCTGTCAACCATTAGAGAATTTATATACACTGATGTTGCAATAACAGGCTAAACTTCCTATAATTGCACTGCTATCATCTGCTGAATTGGTTCCTGAGCCTCTTGGCCTTGTCCTCGTTCTCTCATCTTGGAACTTACCCTTCGGTTAGTTTACTTCTGTCCATTTTCTTTTCGCATGTATTTGGATTTCTGTTTGGTTTTATCGAACTCTGGAAGAGCCTAATAGTATCCAAATTGCTATGCCTTGTTGCATGTAAAAACAGGGCTGTCGTTGGAGCCTTTAATAGGAGCCATAGCTGCAGGAAATGCTGTGGTTTTAAAACCATCAGAGCTGGCCCCTGCTTGTTCTTCACTTCTTGCTAATACCCTCCCTAAGTACCTTGATAATCAAGCTATCAAGGTCTTCGAGGGAGGCCCTGCTGTTGGCCAACAACTGCTTCAGCAAAAGTGGGACAAGATTTTCTTCACAGGTATCAACTCATACCAGATTGGATTGTCAATAGAAAATGTAACTGAAAACTGGGGATCATGTTGTTCTTCTACCTTAGTTTAGCTTGCTGTATAAGTAATATTTTTCGGAATTTTAAGAGTAAAACTAATGGTAGGAAGTGCAAAAGTGGGACGGCTAATAATGTCAGAAGCTGCAAAGAATCTAACGCCTGTAACTTTAGAGCTGGGGGGGAAATGCCCTGCTGTTCTTGATTCCCTCTCCTGGACTTTTGACAAAGAGGTTCTTTTTTTTAAATCGCTTGCAGATTACATGCTTAGCGGTCCGTAACAGTTCGATTTTCGTCGTTTGAATAATACTAATCTGAGTTTGTTCATTCTATCGAGGTGGCTATAAAACGAATCATTGGGGCAAAATATGGATCTTGTGCAGGTCAAGCATGTATATCAATTGACTATATATTAGTGGAGAAGTCATTTTCATCTACTGTGGTATGTGAATCTCTTATATTCATCATACACGCTATCCGTTTCTTCTCTTATATCTTAATAATCATAGTAAATACAGATTACCTCTCTTTGCAGGTGGAAATGACAAGGGCCCTGATCAAGACAATGTATGGAGATAACCCTAGAGAATCACATAGTGTTGCCAGGATAATTAACAAGCATCATTTCCTGAGGCTGAAAAACCTTCTAACTCGTCAAAATGTTAAAGATTGTATCGTCTTTGGCGGTTCGATGGATGAAGACAACTTGTAATCCATCCACTCTCCTTCTAGTTTAGCTCTGGTCAATCTTTTCACTGTAACTGCAAAAGCTTGAATTATTAATATATCTGATGAAGATACAAAATCCGTGCAGGTTCATTGAGCCAACAATATTAGTGGATCCCCCACTTAAATCAGCAATAATGACAGATGAGATCTTTGGCCCACTGCTTCCCATAATCACAGTAAGAAACATCTAGGCACTCTTAAACCACATTTATAATGCTAATAAGCTCAAGAAGTAGTAGTTTGCAGGGAGCAGTCCCTTTTCTTCACTTGAAAAATCGGGGTTTTTTTTGGGCAGTTGGATAAGATTGAAGACAGTATTGATTTCATTAATTCAAGGCCTAAACCCCTAGCAATATATGCTTTCACCAAAAATGAAGTGCTGAGGAAGAGAATGGTATCTGAAACATCATCCGGATGTGTGGTTTTTAATGATGCAATCATTCAGGTACATTTACAGTAAGTTGTAAGTTTAACAACCAAGCCATTAAATGATAGAACCTAATCATTAATGCCCCATCAAATGCAGTTTGCAGCAGACACCATTCCTTTCGGGGGCATTGGTGAAAGTGGGACGGGGAAGTACCATGGCAAATTCACCTTCGACACATTTACACACTACAAGGCTGTGGCTAGAAGAAGCTTCTTAACTGATTTTTGGTACAGGTTCCCCCCATGGAATAATCATAAGCTGGAACTCTTGGAGGATAGTTACAATTTCAATTATTTCGGATTGCTTCTTGTCATTTTGGGGTTGAAGAGGACTAGAAAGACTTTTCATGTCAACTAGTTATTCTTATATACATACATACATATGTCTGTGTGTTAATACACGCACGGCTACGACTCTCCTGTTAAAAGTATTAATGATATGTCGAGCACAGAGAATAAACATGGGAAAACAGTAAGTATAGTTTGCGGTCACGTTGTAATTTTATGTTTCTTTTAAATAATATATATATACATACATACATGTTTTTATGTTATCTCTCATGTCTTATTTCAATTACTATTCAAGTGATATAATGATGGCATACCAAAAATTATCACATCTTTGTATTATTCAAAGCTTACCATCACCAATAATCGTTACAAGAACATATCTTATTTTTAAAGTGGTGGAAACGATTTGAATCCCTAACAATGATCTCTTTCTGAAGAAAATCCGACGCCAACTTCATGAAGTTATGGCAGTCGACACAGATTCGGATGTTCTTCATTATTCTTATCACATTCCCACCACAATGTAAGTTCCCTTCATTCATCAGTGCAAAAACCAAAGCCATCTTCTCACTGTGGTGGAACAATTGCTCTTGTTTGTGCTCCTCCTCTATATCATGCAAGGCCAAGCTTGTTTCCGGTACATATCCGATCTCCTTTAATTGCCCAATTAATACCTGAAGCTTGGCGCATATGGCATCTCTTTGAGGATGATGTCTGCCTCCGGAGGCAAACTCGTGCACTTGATTCCCGACCTCGATCCAACTTTGTCCGGGCTCCTTTTTTACTCCTGAACCATCCATTTCTTTTCTAATTGTTCTTGCTTCGTTGAATCTTCCGCCTGAAGAGTAGATATTTGACATTTGTACATATCCCAATGAATTTTCAGGCTCCATCTGTTTCAGTTTGGATACGGCAATTTTAGCTAACTGAGTTTCACCGTGCTTCCTACATGACCCAAGTAGTGCACTCCAAACTACAGAGTCAGGCTCCATAGGCATCCCGCGTATAAGCTCCTCAGCCTCGGTGATTCGGCCAGCTCGTCCAAGAATATCTACCATGCAAGCGTAGTGGTCTAACTGTGGAATAATACTGTGATTCTTGAACATGGAGTCAAAGATTCTCATTCCTTCCTCCACCATTCCAGAATGGCTGCAAGCTGAAAGAAGAGCAACAAAGGTAGTGGTATCAGGTCTGAGGTCCATTTGTTGGAAGAGTTGTAGTGCTTCCTTAGCTTTCCCATGCAAACCATAGGCCTTAAGCATCGAGTTCCAGGAAACCAGATCACGATATCCCATTTCTTCAAACACTTTCTTAGACAAAACAATGGAGCCACATCTTGTGTAAGCATGGATCAAGGCATTTCTTAACACCGTATCATCCTCGAAACCAGCTTTAATCACTTGTGAATGAATTGCCAAGACATGCTTCTCAGTTACAAAGCCTGCACAAGCTTTAAGTACTATTGAAAAAGTATACAAATCGGGTCTCATGTCTTCTCGAAGCAATTGTCGATAAAGGAAGAAAGCTTTAACTGGGTCACGTTCTGCAAATGCAGTTATCATGCTAGTCCAAAAAATTATATCTTGGCAACTTGTGTCCAGGAAGAGATGATAAAATTCAGAAATATCTCCTCCAAGCTCCGAATAAGCTTTCATAAATGCAGTCGCCACTTCAACTTCAGAAATGAATCCAGTTTTAACACTGAGGCAATATACCTGAAAACAAAATTTAAGACCCAAATCCATCTCAATATCATTGCTTCCACAAAATGAAGAGAATACACTGAGCAGTGTGGCACGGTTAAAGCCAATGCCCTCGTGATGCATTCTGACAAAAACACCAATAGCATGCATCCCAAGCTTTGCTAACTGAAACCCAGCAATCATTGAATTCCAAGAAACCTCAGTCCAATAGCGCAGACTCTTAAACAATGTCCAAGCCTCCTCTACCTTATAATTCTTGCTATACATGGTAATAAGAGCATTTGCTATATAAACAGAGGCATCCAATCCCATCTTCAACAAGAGTGCATGCAATTGCTTACCACGCAAGTCATCACACGAACTAAGCACGCTTGTAAACGCAAATTCATTCGGCCGAGAGCGACGATCAGCTAACATATCCGAAAAGATTCGAAAACTCTCTGCAATCCGACCACATTGTGCATACCCCGAAACAAGAGCCGTCCAAGAAACGACATTCCTTATAGGCATTTCATCAAACAGCTGACGAGCATATTGTAAATAGCCACATTTGCAGTACATATTGATCAAATGGTTAGTGACAAAGAGGTCAGATGTGCCGTTGGGAAAATGGGCAAGCATGAAATAATGCAAATGAAGACCTTGTTGAAGATACCCATGGCGGGCGCACTCATGGAAGAGAGTGGCACATGTTTGTAGAGAGAGGAGTTGGGGTGATGTATTGTAGACGAGTGAGAGAGCTTCCTGGAGTTGTCCGCGTGAGGATAGGAGCCGCACCTCGTTGAGAAGATCGTTGGGTCCATTGCCTGCTACTGCTAGTGCTGGCTGGATATTGGAAGAGCTCAAGCTTCGGATTGAGACCAAACAGGCGCGCATAGTTGGGCGTAACATCATTTATATTCAAATTGCAGTTTCTTTAACTTAAATAGCTAATTTAGAGTTTATACGATGGTCGACATTTGGTCAAATAATTGTTTTGGTCACTTCATTATTCTTTAAATTTCGAGTATAACCTCCATACTTTTATTTTAACATGATTTAGTCCCTCTATTTTTATAATACATCAATGTTTTTCTCTTTCAAATAGTTGATAATGTTTTCTCCGTGCATTCATGCCCAGCATTTTGGATATATAATCGCAATATGGCATTCAATTAATACAGTAATAAGAAAAATATCCAAAGCATCACTATGGATCTGATAAGAAATAGTACAAGGGAACACTCATTATCACAGAATTCATCAACGATCTTTATCAGCATTATACCCTTTTATATTGTTAAGAAAACTAACACAATATACATAAACGAAGGCGGCTTAAAAACGTTATAATTATTCTTCTTCCACATCAAATCTTCAACCCGAACGAAGAGATTAAAACAATAACTTATCTTAACTAGCCCTTTGAAAATGTTGATGATGTATGATAGTAATGAGGTGGAGATTTCACTTGAGGATCGGTGACTAGTAGTGAAGATATGGTGGAGGGGGTGACTTGTAATAGTAAGGTGGTGGTGGTGACGGAGATGGTGGGGGTGGTGACTTGTAGTAATATGGTGGCGGGGGACTAAGAGATGGTGGCGGTGGTGACTTGTAGTAGTATGGTGGTGGGGGACTAGGAGAGGGCGGAGGTGGAGACATATAATAGTATGGCGGTGGTGGGCTAGGTGAAGGTGGAGGTGGAGACTTGTAAATGTAGGGAGGCGGTGGTGAGGAAGATGGTGGAGGTGGTGATTTGTAGTAGTATGGTGGTGGGGGACTAGGAGAGGGTGGAGGCGGAGACTTGTATATGTAGGGAGGCGGTGGTGAGGAAGATGGTGGAGGTGGTGATTTGTAGTAGTATGGTGGTGGGGGACTAGGAGAGGGTGGAGGCGGAGACTTGTATATGTAGGGAGGCGGTGGTGAGGGAGATGGTGGAGGTGGTGACTTGTAATAGTATGGTGGCGGGGGACTTGGTGAGGGTGGAGGTGGAGACTTGTAGTAGTATGGTGGTGGGGGACTAGGAGATGGTGGAGGTGGGGGTGAGGGAGATGGTGGCGGTGGAGATTTGTAGTAGTACGGTGGTGGAGGAGAATGTGTGTGCTCAGGGTGCTTTGGTGGAGGTGGAGAAGAATATTCATAAGGTTCATGATCAGCAACCACAGTAGCTGCCACAAGGCTAAATGTTAAAGCAAGGATGAAGAGAGGCCAGTGCCCCGGTGGGAGTACTGAAGTCCACATGTTTGTGTCAATACAATTTCTATTTCTGATAGTTAAGAAATTACTACTCTTGAGGTATATCCATGAACAAGAGAAGGCCCTCTTTATATACTCATTAATCTAATATAAAAAGCAAGCTGGATTTACATAACTGTATACCACTACCTTAATATAAAACTCCAAATTGCCATCGGAATTGGCTGTTTCCCCTGAAGTATATTTGGCCTGCGTTTGTTTGACTAATGCTCACCCGAACTAAGCATAAAATAAAAAACCCCAACGCGTTGAAGGTAAAAGAATAGGTCTGATGATGACTTCTGCAATATAATAATTATATGGTTTTGAACTCAGCATGCAGGCTGGCGCCGGTTAATAATTCATCAGTAGAAGCAATTTGGGATCAACCCTTGTTTGACCCTTTCGTATCCACAGTTGAAGTGTTCCTTTTTACCCGATCGTTTCTAATGCTTGAAACAAAAGGAAAATTCATGCTGTTAACCCCAAACACTGTAAACTACTTTTAATTCATTTAGAGCCTAAAGGAGATTGGATTTCTATTTTGTTTGTGTAAAGAAAGAATTTAAGTTTTGGTTATATTTTTTAATGGCTTCTAACTCTGTCTGCAAAGGAGTTCTTTCTCTGCTTAGTATTTTTACAGTATGATGCCCTGATTTTTTTGTCTTTGTGTGCATAGGTGTTCTTTGTCTGCAGGGTTCTCTTTTAAGCAGGATCTCTGTAGTTGGTTGCTTTCTTTGTGCCTTGTAAGGTTCTTATGGCTTGTTAGCTGTTAACCCCAAACCTGTAAACTACTTTTAATTCATTTAGAGCCTAAAGGAGATTGGATTTCTATTTTGTTTGTGTAAAGAAAGAATTTAAGTTTTGGTTATATTTTAATGGCTTCTAACTCTGTCTGCAAAGGAGTTCTTTCTCTGCTTAGTATTTTTACAGTATGCCCTGATTTTTTTGTCTTTGTGTGCATAGGTGTTCTTTGTCTGCAGGGTTCTCTTTTAAGCAGGATCTCTGTAGTTGGTTGCTTTCTTTGTGCCTTGTAAGGTTCTTATGGCTTGTTATGCCATGAACTGGAATTGAAATTTGGCTTTCATTCTAATAAAACTATTATGGTTGATCTATTTTTTAATAATTTGTAAAAATTAGGTTAAATTATATATATATATAATTGTACAAAATCATCATTACTACTACTTTAAAAATAATGATTTTTTCAAAGGATGGTAAGGATTGGAATATTTTAACTGAATTGATCTTATAGAATATATGGTGTACTCGGAATTCGATTTTTCTTTTTATAATCCTATTGAGAACAATGTTGGAACACTCGAGCGGAGCAGGTGGCTTCCAATCATGACATGTTGAGCAGGACGGCGGGATTCTCTCAAGGCAGTCTGGCTCGACCGTGGAAGCTGTTGTTTGGAGGCCGCCTCCGAAAACTTAGACTAAGATGATTACGAATGGGTCAAGAAGGGAGAGTAATGACATGGCATCTTATGGGGTGTTGTTCGTGATCACAAGGAAGTGTGGAAGATGAGTTTTAAGAAATTTCTTGGTATTTGCTCGGTCCTGAAAGCGAAACTTTGGAGTGTATGTTGGGCTCCATTGCACTTGGAATATGGGGATGAGAAAAGTTTTTGTCGAGACTGATAGCTTACATGCTATTCGTGTGCTCAGTGATAGTAAGATTAGCGGTGGTTCAATGACTATTTTGGCTCATATATATGGTTTGAATGATCACCAATGGGAGGTTCGGATTCAACACGTTCTTAGATAAGGCAATCGAGTGGTTTAACTAGGAATGTTGGGCCTAATGAAGTAGAAACTCAAATGTTCGCCCTTCCCCCTGATAATGTTCTTGACATGCTGAATGATGTAAGATGATTTTTAGGTTGTGTTTGACTTTTGCTTGTAAGGTTTTACTTAATTGATCATGTTGTTTCTTTGTTATTATCATGTGTACTCTTTTCCTTCGGTTAAGATTTAAGAGATTTTTAATGAAGCATACGATAGTAATCCTTTATTCATCAATAAATAAATAAAGATCTTTTTGGCAAACGTGTGTTAGGTTTATTTTCATGTGAATGCCTGCATTGAAGTTTTCATAAACTGATGCATTTTAGTACTTCAACCATTTCACATTTGGGATTCCACGAAATTGCTAATTTAAGCATCACATCCTCTCTACCAAATATTCTGACTAATTTATTTATTGGAATTTATCAATTAGAACATTTATCATTGCAGCTTCTTATAATTATAATATAATTTTAATCATTTTTGTTTGGTGTGTGTGATAACGAGGGAGCCTCCTAAAACTTGTTTGCATTTGAGATAACCTTCTGAAAAGCGTTTGATGATGATGAAAATGGGCAGGAGCACTAATTGGAATATAACAAACATCATCGAAAACTTTATACATCCATCTTCTACCATGTTCATTACTTAACCCCCCCGCCCCCGCCCCCCCCCCCCCACCCTTCTTTTTTCCCTTATCGCAAGAGCCAGTCAACTAATCTTCCGTTAAACAAAGTAAAAGATACAAAAAAAAATAGAACATCTTCGTAATAACGATAGAAAAAAAAACCCAAATCCAAGGGCAAAAAAGTGATAAAAAGCATACCATATATTTTCTTTATGTTCATCGTGATTATCCCTTAATGTTTGATCCGTCGCCAAACACCTCTGTATAACATATAGGGCAAGCCTGGAGAAATAAAGCTTCAATTAACACCTTCCCAAACTGCTGCCTAAATCAATCATGAGAAAGGGGGAAAAGTCAGTGGGCTACCTTATTGATGCTAAGCCATTTGGTGCCACATCCAGCATGGTAGACATGTTTGCAAGGTAGAGTAATCCGTCGCTCACCTCTTTTATATTCCATCTGGCAAATTACACATCTACTCCACAAAGATAACAATGATGAGATTTTCACCATATTGGCTGAGAGAAAGAGGAAGAGACCAAAGGAGGGGAGTGGGAATCCATACACTAAAACAAGCTGCAAATATCACTGGTGCATGATGAATGCGCAAGCATGCATATTATTCACAAATATAAACAAGACCTTGCAAAGCAGTAAAATTTATGTCGAGATGCACTAGGGTGGTTGTGTATTTCAATTTAAAATATGTGAAGCCCATCGGCCGCTGCTGAAAAAAAACCAAATTACATTTTTAACAGGAACGAAAGACGAGGCAGATGCCGTACCTCTCATTCCTTGATTTCTTCCTTGAGAACAAACTGCGCTTGTATTTTGAAACAGGTAGCAAAGAAATAAGTTCTTGGGAGAGACCACGACTTTGTGTTCCAACACTCTCGCCTAATTCAAGTAATTCCTAGAGCGGTAAATGTAATCATGAATGATCGATCACGAAAATAAAGTCAAAAAATAATTCATAAATACACAACCTATGTTTTCTAGAAATGTATGAAAACGTCCAAATTTGTTTGTTCTATTTTAATTTCTTGTTCATAAACCCACTAGATCTCATTGCAAAAAAAATGTTGTGATTAAAGAGAGAAGTGCTCGATGATTGTTTTAATTTTCAAATGCATCTCAACAAATATTGATCCAATTGTGTTTTTATCTTTTTCTCGAACTCAAAATTGCACCAAACTAAGCGTTAATTGAAAGGTTGCTAAAAAAAATAGAGAAACAAAGCAACAATAAAGCCAGGAATAAAAAATAGTAGGGAGTTTTTTCTATAACCTCATATGACATGGTGTCGGGATCAACACAATCTTGCCATATGGCCTGCATATTTTGACAAAATTTTGCATCATTTAACTTTGTGAACCATGAAGCTGAAACAAGGATTTAAGCCTCTATAACTGTACTATTATTAATTCTTTGGAAAAGCATAGATACTCTTCAACATGTATACAGCATAAAAACGTAGAAGATTGAAGTCACTAAAATTAGATGGTGATGCAAATAATCACTGACATATAAAGGAATGAAAGTTCATAGTACAAGAAAAGAGTTGCACCCATGTATTCATCAAAGAAAATAACAGAGAGAAACACCTGGTAATCATGAGCATTATGTTGTCTCCCTGGACCTGTAAAGTGAAAAGAAAAAACATTGGAATGAGGAAACTTCATCGAAAATCCTAGATAGCTATTGTTATAAGAATATGGCAGTCACTTTATTACCAGAACTGGCGATACAGAGAAAGCGACTACATTCACTCCATGCTAAAAAAAAGGAGCAAATACACCTTTAAAGAAGAAGACAACAAACTATAAAAAGTCCATCTTGGAAAGAAAGCCAAAAACAATCACCAAGGGAAGGAAAAACAGATTCAATGGATAGTTTTAAAAAATTTGTAGCTTCTAAGAGGGGGCATTTTATTAGGATCCAAATGAAATATAAACACAACTTAATCATTAGCCTCACTGAATCCTTAATTTCTCTTCAATCAAGTATGATTTAAAGTTCAAAATCCATTAAAACAGAGGTGCTGTCTGGGAGCAAATACTTGATTGCTAGAAAACATAGTATCCAGTCCAATCATAAAATATAGAGAAAGCATTAAATTTGCAAACAATTTGAAAATTCACCATAGAAAAACAAAGACCTCGGGAGAAATTTAATTCATCACATTATGCAACATAGTTAGGAAAAAATCTTGAGAAGGAAAGAGCTATGTATCAGAGGTTTATTAAGTGTAACAGTTAAACCATGTTGAATCATGCCATTGACATAAATCCTCAGCCTAATTCTAGAAATGCATGTTATGATTTATACATCATTATAACCTTTTTAACATTATATTACATATTTATGTACCTTCAAACGCGGAATTGAAACAATAATGTAAAGTATAATTGAGAAACTTACAATCTACTGAGTTCTCTAGCGAGTTGGCATTTGAGTTTCTTTCCCATTCCACATTCATTGCAGCAGTGTGTTGATTACTCATTGACGAGGAATTCTCTGATGCCCTTCTATATTCATCAATGCATAGCTCATGGTTATTCACCTCGTAACTATGATCATTATCTTGATCATAATACAAAATACTGCCAGAATCAGATAGGCCAAACTTGTAGAATCTTGAAGTCATAGATGGGTACACACTCTCCTGCAGACAGAAATTCAAGTTTTGGCTGTGACCAATAGTAACAATTCATTTACAATAATCTAAACAGAGGATCAATTACAATCAACTCTTCCAAAAAGTCAGCCTGTTTTTCATCTGATTAATTTGTTCTTGCAAAAACAAATCAATTCAAAACATTCAAAAAAATTATATATAAAATAAACTTTACCTGGACATGGGTAGCACCGTCAAAAATAAAATTGACATGTTGATAAGTAAGACCTTCAAAATATTCCATAAAGCTGCCAGCACTATTATAAGGGTAATTATTGTTGATGTATTGAACCTCCATATGTGGATCCCAACTCATTTCCAAAAATCGAACAAATCTACGGACATAAAATTTGACAATTCAAAATTTCAACGAGCAGTAGAAACAGACGATGATAACAACATAACATAAAAATCCTGAAACCCTTAAATTTTATGAACATAAGAAAAATAAATAAATAATGTCTAGAAGAACAAGTAAATCGAAACAATGAGATTCAAGTACTGCAACAAAACGTGTAACGTGTGAGCAAATATTCAAGTGAATGACAATGTCTGAAACAAAATTATCAACTCCCCGTTTGGTAACCGAGAAAAGGCATGAAAATGAGGAAGAAGAGAAGGAAACTACAGTCAAGCTTAGTAAGAGCTTAGTAAATCTTGTAAAGAGAAGAAACTTACTTTTCCTATTGCCTTGATTCAGAAACTGAACTTTTCCGAGCAACCAAACAGGAAAATGAAAGAGAGAAAACTAAAAACGAATTACCTCATTCCACGCTTATCAGATCTCCATCGGAGGAAATGCAGGATCTTCTTGCGAGAGAGCTAAAAATGGATTTAAATAATCACCAAAAAGCGTGAGGGGTATGGATAGAACAGAGTGGAATATATAACGATGAGATGCTTTTTGATTCACTACATATGGAGATACGATTTTTAGAAGAATTTGGTTTAAAACAATAAATGATGATATTTGAGTATTATTAATAGATATTTAGAATCAAATTAATGCGGTGATACTTCGATTATAAAATATTATTTTATTAAATTCTTTAATTATTCCGAGTTTTAAAATTATCTTCCAATTATAATAGGAGGGAGAATTATTCCAAATCAATCAATTATTTTTTGAGATTAATTTTTTAGAACTTGAAATTGATTTTATTTTTGCATAAATAGTCTGTTTGCAATTGAAAGTGTTCTTGGGACACAAAATTTCTTTATTTTATACTATAAAAAATGAAAAAGACATAAATTAATATTGACACACAAGGAATAGATGAGTTCTTAAAATTAAAATATTTGAGATTTAAGATTGTTCAATTTTTATAAAATGAATCAAATTGTGAAAATTTTCCTTTATTTTTTTATTTATTTTGTTAAAAAAATTGAAGCAGGAAAAGAAGGAAGCAGATCAAATGCTACATGTGATGCATTTACTAGACAAAACTAAACTAATGAACATCTAAAAATGATTAAAGAATAAAACGTCAAAAACATTCTTTCACAAAAAAAACTTTAAATAATCAAATAAAATAAATAATTTGAACAGTTTTTTTTTTAATTATATCTGATAAAAGTGAAAAATAAAATAAATATTTAAACAAAAGATTCTGTGAGAAATTAAAGAGATTAGCAGCCGACATTGATCGCTTTAATTTTAAGCTCAGTTTAGCAAACCACCTCTTTCTGCTGTAGTGGTCCTTTTCGCCGTAGTTTCAGCAACACGCAAACTCCGTTAAGACTTTAGATGGGAAATGATACCATGCCTCGCGGTTGCAGATATGGTTATACAATTTCAACCCCCAGTCAGCCAGTGCTTTTGCTTACAAAAATTGAACCGTGATATACGAAAATCAATTAACAAAAAAGAAAAAATATGAATAAAAAGATTATTGTTAAAAACCAAATTTTTTTTTAAAAAAAAAAGCATCCCCATAATATTGTTTGGTCCAATAATAGTAATAAATAACTTTTTCACAGGTTGAAGTCGACACAATCTACCAAAGGCAGTAGGCTGACGATGATAACCACTGCCATTCCACAAAGCAAAAGCTGTTTAAGGCATGTGTGGGAGAGAGAGTGCAGAAAAAACAAACAATGAATTATGAACCAAAACCAAAACCTAGCGTGCAAGCAAACACTGGACTGCGAATCATTTTGTTCCTACGTTCTTTTTGTCTCCACACTCTGTGTCATCGGAATCTCTAAAGTCAATCATCCTAAGCAGTAAAACCAACTCATGTCTTTCCAGTCTCTTACATGCCAAACTACAATTCCTTAGATCATACTTGTACTAATATCGATTTAAGTTATACGGACTCGAATATCGGACACGACGATATATATATGTGTACAAATACTCGATTCTTATATCATACTTCTATGCTTGTATCTATATGTATACTTGTTCCTTGGATCATACTTCTACATTTGCATCGAAAAGTGAAAAGTTGGAGTAACCTAGCCTTAAAGTTTTCCGAAGTGTGTCTATTATGGCTCTGCTGGTAGCAGTAACTCTGAATTCATTCCAGTAGCCTAGTAATGTTAAAGAGTTCTGTGCGTCAGCAGGAGAATGAAATTTGGCTTTTCAATCATTCCCAAGATAACTTTTATTCCTATATGGGTCCAGAAACTTGTCGACTACCCTCACAGGACAAAGCAGATAAAGAACATGGAAGACGAATATATACTTAACTTGGCTGCAGTAACTATACGGACCAAGGGCATCTGAATAAGGAACTCCTAACAGTGTATGTAGAGGTTCTGGAGTGCACAAGAATACAAATTACTGAGAGCTAGTATTTGCAGAGCTTGAAGTAATTGTGGTCGAGACAAATTTAGATACAAAACAATTTTGTAGCATGGGGACCTAAATAATCTTTGACATATACATGCACCAATTTTCACTGTATATAGAGACAGTTTCACTATTAAGAAACTTGTAAGGGAAAACAGGTTATGGGCTGATTTTAATTTTTATTTTGTGTAATTGGTAATGAAATAAACGTTTCTGGAATCCAATCCATTGCTTCTATAAGTAGTCTCCTAAGTCTACTGACCCGATTCATGAGTCATGGCCCTAAAACGAGAGATACGTAGGGCACAGCTCTGAAAGCCCCTTGGATGCTTTTGTTTCTCTTTCTTTGAACACAACATCAACAACCTTCGGTATTACGTTTTTTTAACATGTACTTCTCCAAGCAGCCCGCTGTACAACACGTTTTCTCACTGCCATGATGGGAACTTCGAAAAATAATCGACATAATAGTGTTTGGTTTTTGATTGCTCCAATTATAATATATGCATGCTCTGTCATGAATCCAATGAGCACAACGATGAAAAGAAACATTGAGGCAAAGCACAAAGTAAATCGAATCTCATCACAAAAGAATTAAGGAGAGTATTATTCCCAAATTAGATATGGGCTACACCAAAATTTGCACCAAGTCCTAAAAGGGCATTCAAAATCAAACCTAAACCTTGCAGGGTTTTGCATCTTTCATTCTTCTGTTATTTCCTACTCCACCAGAGAAGCAGCCGAGGATTCAGAAAGAGGGGAATTATAGAGCCATCCCACTAGATTCAGCTTCAAGGTACCTACAGATCCTCTCCATAACCTCTCTACCCTTCACACTATTTTGCATAAACCTCTCAGCACATCGTTGCTCGACTTTTTCAGCCATGGATGCCAGAGCTGATAACGGCTTAATACGAATACTAGTCTCCTGTTGACAAATCGTCCATCCCATTGGATTATCAGGGTGAGGATCATACCTTATCTTCTCCTCTACCTCTATAAACTTCTGAAGACTGACGTTACGGGTTGTAAGTTGCATCGACTTAGATTGGGCATCAACAACAGTTGTTTCAACACAGTGGCAGATATCCTGGCCGATGATTTTGCGAACAAACCATGGCCCTGGAGCATGGATGGTAAGAGCACGTGTAGTGTAGAGCTTACCAGAGAGAGAATCAAGTTTATGATTCAACGTATCAACTTCAAGGATGTGAGACAACGTCCGCTTGTTCTCAGGATCAGCGAACTTACGCCAAGAAGCAGAAGTTACTCGCTCCCATGGATGCTTGTAAATGTGCTCTTGAGCATATGCCTTCACCATCACGATCTGACTATCACTGTAAATAGATAAAAAAACAACTCAGACCTCACAACAATATGCATCCATGATAATTCAGGTAGAGATCACCTCATCTAAATGATAGCAAATGCGAGCTAAACATACATAAATCAGGTAGGTTCAAAAGATCAGGTTTTGTCTACAACAATCAAACAAAATAATAATCATCTTTAAAGGTTTTAACTCAATTTACTACAAATCCAATCTCCAATTAGGCGTAAATTTTGAGAAATCACAGAAGCAAGTCAAGATGGCTTCCGTGTCATTCAGATCAAGCATAAAATTCATTTTAAACATAACATTCGTTCCTACATTATAGAATTATGAATTAAATATAAAACTAATCAGTAATTTACATGCCAGAATTAAGCTCCAAGAGTTAAAACCCTAATAATTGAAAAGGAAAAGAATTTCTAAAAATTACAATTAAGCATCTTTTTCTTCAATTCTCATCATGATTTACACAAAACAAAACAAGGATTAACAGAAGAAAAAAGATTGTATAATGGACATCAATTTAGTACAAAATCAAAACTCGTAAAAAATAAAAAAAATTACCCCAAAGAAGAAAGGATCTAAACTATAGATTCAAAGATCCACCAATATCCCAAAAAAATTGCAGACATGTATCATCTAAAACCCGGTAAAGAATTTAAGATAAGCTGAACCACCCATGAATCAATTGGATCCCCAAATGAAGAAAAAAGGCAGACAACAAGCTCGAATCCTTCTTAAAAACGGGACAAGAAAACAAAAATGAATTTTTCCCCACAGCCTACTGCCATTAGCCCATTACTTAAGAATTGTTTAAAAGTGTGATCATTATCAAGAATCCATCTATAATGCATGAAGATCAATAATCATAATAGAAATGAAGATGACTATGAGAAACAGAAATGAACAAGGAAATTTGAGAGAACAAAGCGCACCATAAAGAAACTTTGAGGCAGAGTAAAACCCTAAAAAGATCTTGAGGAAATGTAAAAAGGAAGGAGAGGACGATGGTGATGGTGATGGTCGTGCTCGTGCCTACACTAAGAGCCTCCACGGTGTCGTTTTATGGCCGCCCCTAGACCCTTTGAGTTTGAATTTTCTTTCAGCCCAAATTTTCTGTCCTACTTCTGGATGATCATAGACGGTTGGGGCAAGTAAATAAAATAAAACACAAGTTAGCCGATTTAGCAGTAGACCTGGGCCTATTTGGTCCACACTCCACATTTCAAAATTTCCAGGCTCAGATCTGAATTTGATCCCATCTTTTCTTTCATTATTCATACGTTATAAAAGATAACTACTCATACATAAATTATCCTTTTTTTCAAGCCCTCTTAATTATTTAAATAAATATATAAGATAATAACAGTCAATTAAGACCACTTGTAGAATCAATAATTTCTACCTTTCATTGTTCGTACGTTATTATTATTATATGCTTGTAGCAAAAATTAAAATTTTAAATATAATTCGTTAGTATTATTAAAAAGTAAAATCTAACTGCAACGGCAATCAAATCACAAAAAATGATTAACCAGTTGAAAGACCACCGAGAACTGTAAATTAAAGTTGAGCGTTGTGATAAACTATCCACAAACGTAAAAATCGCACATTCAAATTCAATCTGATGGTCCATATCAGGGCAAAGCAATATGATTATAAGTAAGCATAATCTTGATCAGTCGTGACGTCGTTAAATCCCACCTTAAACCCTAAACTCTAAGAAAACATAAATAAAAAAACGGTCAAACGATCGAGAAAAAAAATAATAAGTGTATCATAAAGAAAGATAAAAATATATTATAATATAAAATTATTCTTACTAAAAAAAACTAAGAGGCAAAGAGAAAATAGAACCATGGACAATCAAAAAGAAAAAAGTTTAGATCTATAAAAACCAGCACAAAACTCTAAAGAAAAAATAAATGATGAGAGGGGGAGGGAGAGCTGCTAACAATCAATATTTAGATATATAAAATTAATTAAAATATAATATGATATAAAACAATAACATGACGATAATACAAATCTCGTTCTTTTATTACAACATGTGTAAACTACATTAAATATCATTGAATTTTATATGTTGACTCGTTTATGTTATTAAATTTTTAATTTTATCAATTATAATACTAAATTTTAATTTTACATTAAATTATGTCACTTCGTCGTTAAGTCAATAACATGAAGATGACATGGCTAACGTTTGCTCACATGGCATGCCATACCAAAATGATGTCATTTTGGTGTAAGTGTTATGATGCTTAAAAAACGTTGTATTAGACAATAAACTTTTGAGGTGTATTGATTTTGTTATTGAACTTTTAAACAGATTTCTTTTTTATCAATGCACTTTATGGCCGCTGCTGGTAGCCAAGCATCGTCATTCATCAATCATGTGTTGCTGTAAGATTGGTACCACAATGTTCATATTTCATTAATCTTTCTTCTCTTATGATTGATTTTTCATGAAACTCACTCAAATTTGATGAAAATCCATTTAAAAGTTTAACGTATTCAAATCTCCTTCAATGATCGATTGATAAGACTAGTTTTAAGGCATGTTGTTTGTCTTTTCAAAATAATGCTTTTCAAATTTCACCGTTCAGATTTTTTAACGAACACCCAAAAAAATGTTAGATTTTTATATTTAATTTCATCGAATTTGAGTGGATTTCATGGAAAACTAATCATATGAGAAGAACGATGAGTCAAATACGAACATTTTTGTACCGATTTTGCTACAAAAGATTATTAGTAAAGAACGACAATTGGCTGCCAGTGGCGGTAGAAAAATGTAGTCGTAAAATAGAAAATTGTTTGAAAGTTCAGTGGCATAATTGATACATCTAATGTTCAACGTGTAAAACAAAATCATTTTAGGCATCAAGACAACTGCACCAAAACAACGTCGTTTTGGTATGGCATGTCATGTCAACAACCGTTAGCCATATCATTGTCTCGTTAGTAATGTAACGACAGAGTAATAATTGAATGCAAAACTAAAATTCAGTGTTATAATTGATAAAATTAAAAATTTGATAATATTAATGATTCAACAAATAAAATTTAGTAGTATTTAGTGTAATTTACCCTTACAAAATTATACTCTTCTTTTTTACAAAGTTACGATTGATTGTCAAACTGGAATGATTGGTTTATGTGTTTATGATATGACACGTATAAGCACTACCCTTACATATTTAGGAATATAAACCTAAGAAGAAGAAAAACAAAACAAAACATGCACATGTTATGTTCTTCTCATCCCAATATGTGCAATCTTTACATTCCTTCAAAAATATGGATAGATTTATTTTAAAATATGGATTGATTTATTTTAAAATATGGATTTATTTATTTTAAAATATGAAAAAAATTATTTTAAAATATGGATTGATTTATTTTAAAATATGGATTGATTGATTTTAAAATATGTATTGATTTATTTTAAAATATGGATTGATTTATTTTAAAAAAATTATTATTGTAGTTATATAGATTATTTAAATTTCAGTATTATAAAACTAAAATTATTTAAATTTCAGTATTGTAAAACTCTTTTAAGTTTAAAAAATCAGTTTATTTATATTTCAGTTTATTTTAACAGTCTGCAGACGTTAAAAAACAAACAGTCTTCTTCTTACAGACTACAGACTTTTGATCCACCTCTTCTGCTGCAAATGCCTGCAGATGTGGTTCGCATACTACAGACCTTTTACCTCTGCAAAAACAAACACCACCTTAGTCATTATCAGGAACCTCTTCCTCCCCCCAAAAGGAAGATATTTTCATAATTTTTATTTACATTAATTCTCTTATAAAAGAATCAATTTTAAAATTGATAAAATCATATATTTTTAATGTTTGTCTCACACACACACACACATATATATATATAATATTTGTTTTAACTCTATTTACAAAATAATAAAAATGTTATAATTATATTTTAAGTTTACGATTATATTTATAAATTTTTATTATAAATTTATAAATTTTTATTTTTAATAAAATTAGTGATTTTCTATAAATAAAATAATTAATGATATAAAAATGTCATCAATGATCATGATCTTTTCTTGTGAAGATTTCATCAAATATGTCTGTATTTTATTAAATGAGATGTCTTATTCACAAGTTTCATCGAATTATATCCACGTGCAGTTCTCAGTTCACTGAATGGACCGTCTCTAACTTCCAATGATCAGCTTTTTGTATAACTACAACCTAATGAATTTGAATGTAAATAGTATTGGTTGAAGTACTTCATAAACTAGCATGCAATCAATGTAAAATAAGTAAAATTAATAATAATGACAGTTTTTTTCCCATTTTCATTTTGAGTGCTGCTCTAGAAATGATACCGGGACATTTCGAAATAGAATAATAGAAAGGGTATTGTTCTAATGTGGTAAAATCATGGCCACCAAGAGCATGATAAGTGTATATATGCCCTTTTGCTTTAAAGCAGGCATATATTCACAGCATTGACATGGGTGGGTGGAGGGAATATAATTACAGGTTTAATTCCCCCTTTGCTTTTTTTTTTTTTCTCTTTGAGCTTAGGTGGAACCTTACAATTTCTCCACCAAATGATGGCAGACAGGGACACATCATATTAGAACAGCTAAATCTTCAAAATAGTTAAAATTAGGTTTTTGGTGCATATATGTGCTGGTGGGGTTACAATGTCCCAATTGGACAGCAAAGACAACAGTAAAATAGATTTTTATGTATCCTAAAAGCTGTATAGGATGGAGTTTGTAAGCACGTGGATCCTTTTTTCCAAATAATTACTTTCATTTATTGAGTTGGTATTTCAATTTTTAAAAATCTTAATAAAAATAAGTAATGTTGATGGGCTTAAACATGTCCAAAAACTAGTGTACGTTTTGAGGCGGAAGATGCCAACATCTAAAACTCGATCTTTTGTTATTCTGTCTATGCCTTGATTTGCACCTCAAAAGTATATCTGAGATCATATGCAAAAACATGACCAGCAATTAGCTAGGAATATAAGATCATATTATTATAAATTTTAAATTAAAAATATCTAGAAATCTACGGAAATAGATCTGAAATATGCAATAATACTATTATTAAGCGACGCTCAATTTGAAGAATGAATAGTATCTATTGGGGGGCAATAGAATAGATCTGAAAATTAGAATTTATTGTTATAGAATATTAATGTATGCATCCAAGTAAGAAAGTGATCATATGATTATGCTGAGAATATAAATATGTTATTCACTTTTGGAGAATATAATGATCAAACAATTCAAAATATATTTACCCTTTTAATTAAGGGTAAAGTATATAAATGGTCACTGAACGTTTCAGATGCTTGCATTTAGGTCCTCCAACTTTTAAAACTTGCAATACAATCACCAAACATTTAGTTCGTTTGCAATATGATCCCCGACGTAATGGTCATTTCACTGTCGTTAGGGTAAATTATATAAATGGTCACTGAACTTTTCAGGCATTTGCATTAAGGTCCCCCCAACTTTTAAAACTTGCAACATAGTCATCAATTACATTCTAAACCCCCAAAATTCAAAATGATTCAATTACATTCTAAACCTCAAAATTCAAAACACTTCAATTACATGCCCAACCCCAAATTCATAATACACTCTCAAAATCTACCATAACAAATTAAACTTGAAATAGCAACCCTAAACCCTCAAAACATAATCGTTTCAAAAAAAATTAACCAACTATAAGTGAACAATAAGTGATTATGTTGGGTTTAGGGTTATGTTGGACCTAAATACTCAATTCAGTTTATAAAATAGTTGGGTCGAAATTTTGTCGATTTGAGTTTATAAAATTTAAATCAAGTCGAATTGAATTGAATTTTCGAGTTTCTATTTAAATTTAATTATAAATATTTATCATATTATAATATTATATGATTCTAATTAAGTTCAGTTTATAAAATAGTTGACTCAAAATTTTTTCGATTTAGTTTATAAAATTTAATCAAGTCGAATTGAATTGAATTGAATTTTCGAGTTTTTGTTTAAATTTAATTGTAAATATTTATAATACTATAATATTATTTGATTCTAATTTAAATAGTTTTTTTACCATAAACAATACACATATTTCTTCATATTTTTCCATATGTGATATACATATATCATACAGAGTCAATGGACTTGACTCAAACTTAAAAATTAATCAATTAATTACTAAAAGTTTTGAAATATTCGTGTTGTATTTTACAACTCGATTTTAACTTGAAAATTTTTTAAGTTAAGTTTATGAAATTACAACTAAAAGTCAATTTGTATCAGTTTTTTTGAATCAGTTCAAGTCGAAAAATAATTTTTTCGAATCGAATTGAGTATTTTTCACTTATAGTTGGTTAAATCTAAATTTTAAATCCTAAACCCAACATAATCACTTATTGTTATGGACCCAAAATGAACTAAATGTTGTTGATTATGTTGGGTTAATTGGAGGGGAAATTTAGCATTTAGGGTTATGTTTTAAGGGTTTAGAATTGTTGCTTCAAGTTTAGTTTGTCATGGCAGATTTTGAGAATGGATTATGAAATTGGGGTTGGTCATGTAAGAAGTATTTTTGGAGTTTGAGGTTTAGAATGTAATTGAATTATTTTAGAATTTGGGGTTTAGAATATAATTGATGACCGTGTTACAAGTTTTAAAAGTTGTGGGACCTAAATGCAAGCGCCTAAAAAGTTTAGTGACCATTTATATAGTTTACCCTAACGGCAGTGAAACGTCCGTTATGTTGAGGACCATATTGCAAACGAACTAAATGTTCGATGACTGTATTGCAAGTTTTAAAAGTTGGGGGACCTAAATGGAAGCATCTAAAAAAGTTCAATGACCATTTATATATTTTACCCTTTAATTAATTATCCTTCCCCCCCCCCCCCTCAAATATGTCTACAAAGCCTTGACTTCGATCTAATATTAAGATCCCACACTATATATGATCCAAGCTAACCGACCCTGCCTAATCATGAATTTAAAATTTCATCGAAAAAACTCGTATTATTCTATCTATTGTAAATTGGATTCGAAAGATAACATTCCAAAAAAGATCATTCAGAGTTGCTTTCTCTCACTGTCATTGTCTCTTTTTTCTTTCATTAGCATGCAGGGGCACAAGCCTTGATGCGGGCATCTACGGCCAATATTTTCTTTTTATTTTGTATATTTGTTTTCTTTAGAATAATCTTATATTTATGACACGAATTTATGTGTTTTCATAGTACGTTTTTCTTTGCTTTTATATTACATTTTTCTATGTCTTTTGGCATATTTTTTATTCTTTTTATATGGTTGAATTTTACATCGTCGCGATTGATCAATATGATGCTCATTTGTTATCTCATTGACTTTCCCTGTTTTGGACCATCGAATTAGATTTGAATATGTAACTTGCGATTGCAAATAATTATCTCATGATGGTTGCCTCTTATTTACGTTTTGTCGGTGGTGTTTCAGTAGTTTAAATCCCCTATTGTGGTTGGTTTGTCGTAACAGTCAGATATGTTCTTATCTATTTGTTGTTCAAGTTTTTCTGAATGAGATTTTCATCTTTTCCTTTCATGGTCATAATATGATATCGTTAGTTTCTTCATTATTTTAGAATAATTTCTAAACTATATATCTAATTTACGATTTTGTTGTAAATTTTATTATAATTTTAAAATTTTCTTATTTATTAATAAAATTAACTGCTTTTATTTTTTAAAATTGAAAACGTTCCAACAAAACCCTAAACTTAGGACGATGATGTACCAACGATCGTACTCAGCCCTTTGATTATGGGTAGCCCCCATGTGAAAACCGTATAAAACTAATCATTCTTGTTTAATTTTTTTCTGTCCTTTATTTGGTTCCATGCATCATCTTTCATTTCTCGCAAGCACGTGTGCCCATTTTTCTTGTCAAGGTTTACATATATCGATTTTTTTTATTATTTCAAAATTTTTAATTTAATCATCATATATATCTATCAAAAGTTAATTATAGGATTAACATTTTCAAATTTTAAACAATACATAAATTTAATTCAATAAATAATATAAAAGCAAAATTTAACTTTTAAAACTATACATGAATATTTAATTTAGTTAACCCTTCCTTATAATAATAAAAAATAAAAGGGAAAAAAAGGCTATCCACTTTAACAAACTCAATACACTTATAGAGACCTATTCAATTAGGGATGGGAATGAGACCTAAATTTAATGGGTTCGGACTTAATTCGACCTAATCGGTCGGATTTTTTTAAAAAATTGGATTTGGGTCGGGTTTTTAAAGATGATGTTTGGGTCGGGGATTCAGGTTTATGGTGAAAAATCTTCGACCCGAAAAAAATATAATTTTACCTTATATATTTAGAAATAATTACAATAATATCCCTCTATATAGTATTTTTTCAATTAAATCACTGTTTTTATTGAATAAAATAATATTTTTTTATTATTTCATGTCGGGTTCAGATTTTATCTCAAAAAGTCAGGTCGGTTCGGGTTGGGTGGAGGGTATATATTCTTCGGGTCGAATGAATGATGTAAACTTTTTTGGTCGGATCGGGTTAGCTGAAACCCGACTCATGCCCATCTCTAATTCTATATAGAAAAATTATTTTCAAAAGTAAAATTATTGTACTCTCCTAATAAAATAACAGTGATAATAAAATTATACTTATAAAATTAATAATATACAGTTTTTATGAGACATATGGGATAATTATTAGCAATAGTGATGTGGAATGGTACAAAGGGCACTCCTTTAGACAGTTTGGCCGATTTTAAAACTTGCCGTCTTCCGTCCCTTCGCAATATTTGTCTTAGGGATATCATATTATGACCTATTTTATATTCCGTGCCTTCTCAGTATTTGTCTTAGGGATATAATATTATGACATATTTTATAATTGTTTTATATCACAAGAGTTTGTACATTATTTTTATCTTCCATTGTTAGATTCATTGAATGAATAATATACTCGTTAATGTCATAAAATTTATTAATATTTAAGAATATTTAAATAGAGTCATAGACAAAAAAAGCTACCCCTTGTTTTACTAACTTGTCTCATTTGTAATGTGTTATTTATATTTCTTCTTTTTATCTATATTGACTGACGACGACAATGACTTTGATGTTGGTTGACAACCGTCGATATTTTATATTGTCGTTTATTTTTGTATATCACATCTTTATTTTTATCTTGTTTTTAATTTTCAATAAGTATGTTTTTATGACACGTTTTCGTCTGTCTTTTTATGCCACTTTTTTTATATTTTTATGGCACGTTTTCGTCTGTCTTTTTATGCCACCTTTTTTTTTATGTTTTTTGGCACGTTTTCGGTCGTTTGACCTATTTTCATTTATTTTTTTCTAATAATTTACTCGACATCGCCATGACTTATTAAGATTGTGTTTATCTGCTATCATGTTGATTTTCCCTATTATAGACTCTTAGATTAGATTTGGATATTTGATTTGCGTTTGTAGCTAGTTTTTCACATCACTCGACTCTGATTTATGATTTTGTTGGTGATCTTTCAATAGTTTGATCTCCTATTATGGTTCATTTACTAATGCGATCAAATCCGTTTGTATCTATCCTTGTTCGAGTTTTGATTAAGTTTTTTAATGGCCCTTATGTGATCTTATGTTGCTAATTTTGTGTCAATAAATTAAAAAATCCTAATTATATATTTATTTTATGATTACGATTGTAAATCTCAATTGTAATTCGAAATATTTTCTTTTTTAATAAAATTAATGGATTTTAGAAAGAAAATAGTCATAAATAAAGGAAAGGTTCAAATAATTACTAGTTAAGGGTTCATATATTGTTTCTTTTAAGTTTATTTGTTAAGTTAAATAAACAAAGTCCAAAACAAAAAATGTAATCTACACGTTTAGTACATATATTAATATTATTATTTATTTAAGTATCTAAACTTTCATTTATTTTAAATTTATATATAATGTTACGTTTATTTTTTGTTTAATTTTAGTACTCAACTGTTAAAAACTTAGTGAAACTGCTATATGTAGTTCTTTTATAGATAAATTACATCATTCATCAATCTTCTCACTTCTATTTTGGTCATTGAAGTTTATTTTTTTAATTTAATCACTTAACTTTCAAATTACTCCTATTTTAATCACTCTAACTTATTTTATTGATATTTTCTAAATGAATGGATGAGTTGGAGAGGCCGATAAGAGTAAAAACGTGAGGGTGAGGTTAGTGGTTTGTGATTTAGGGTTTATGGTATAATTTTTAGGTTTCAGTAAAATTTTAAAATTGTTTTTTATTTTAATATATTAATAAAAAAATAAAAAAAAAATATCATGTCACAAAAATATTAATAAAACAAATTAGAGTGATTAAAATAAGGGTAATTTGAAAGTTAAGTAGTTAAATTAAAAAAACTTTAATGACCAAAATAAAAGTGAAAATATAGTATATTTTATAAAAAAAAAATGGGTGACCGGGTCTGAACCGTCGTATATCGGTATATGTGTAGTCGCGGGTCTTAGATATCGTGAGGTGAAATCCTTGTTTCACAGACACCAAGAACAAACCTCACTTCCACCAAAAACAATTACTTAAACCAACCAAATCAAACTTTTTATCGTACTTGTATATATCCAAAAACCAATCCTCAGCCATCACCAATCTCTTCCTCCTCCTTCCTTGTCTCTTTCCCTCTGAAATTGTTATGGATAATCCTTCATCTCCACCCGAGTTAGATTCCGAGAACCTCAAAGCCATTAAAATCCTGGGCGAAGGAGCCATGGGCCGTGTCTTCCTCGTGCACCACACATCTACCGATCCCACTGCTCGTTCTCCGTTTGCCCTCAAGGTTGTCCAAAGGTCCCAACGTGATGCTGACCGTCGAGCCCGTTGGGAAATGGAGGTCTTGACCAGGCTTTCCTCTCCCGACCCTACTCTTCACCACCCGTTTCTCCCTCGTCTTTTGGGTCGCTTTGAAACTCCCGAGCTCATCGCCTGGGCTGTCCCCTACTGCTCTGGCTCAGACCTCAACGTCCTTCGTCACCGTCAACACGACCGCGTTTTCTCTGCCGCTGTCATCCAGTTTTACCTGGCTGAGATCCTCGGCGCTCTCGGTCACTTGCATTCCCTGGGCATAGTTTACCGAGATCTCAAGCCTGAAAACATCCTCATTCAACGCTCAGGTCACATCACTTTAACGGATTTCGACCTTTCTCGCTACTTAAAGAAGAAGCAACTATCACATACTGAAACTGTATTACACGACAAAGAGGATCCGAATTCATTGCCAGTCATTCCGGTTCCACGTAAACATCTCCGAAACTTCATCCGATGGGTCCCCGTCGTAGCTGATGACAAACATAGCAAAGCTTATAATAAGAAACCGAAACCATCCCGAGTCAGCCCAGTTAGTCGGAGAAAGCTCAGTTTCTCAGACGGGGAACGCTCCAACTCTTTCGTGGGCACCGAGGAATACGTCTCACCTGAAGTAGTACGCGGAGAAGGACATGAATTCGCCGTCGATTGGTGGGCTCTCGGGATCCTGACCTACGAGATGCTCTACGGTACGACACCGTTCAAAGGCAAAACCCGCAAGGAGACGTTCCGAAACGTTTTGTACAAAGCGCCAGAGTTCATGGGACCACGAAACGATCTGACTGATTTGATCGGACGGTTATTAGAGAAGGATCCCAAAAAAAGACTCGGATATCAGAGAGGCGCGTGCGATATCAAGGAGCACACGTTCTTTAAAGGCGTCAGATGGGACCTCTTAACGGAGGTGTCGCGGCCGCCGTTTATTCCGTCAACTGATGAGGGCGACTCGACGGAGAAAGTAATTCCAGGACAAATAGATATAATGGAATATTACGAGAGTTTGAAGACTCCGTTACCTATTCAACAGTCACCGTCGCCGTCACCTTCTTCATCGGAGCATAGACGAAACGATTCTTTCAGGGAGTACTAACGCACGTGTAAGGGTCAGTTAGGTAAATTACTTTTAATTTTTTTCGCTTTATAGGATTAGTGTACATAAAGTAAGGGCGGCAACGTGAAAAATGGCGGGGATTAGTGGTATAAAGCAGTAATAAATTTGAAGTGTGATATAAACAAGCTCTTAAATTATCTATTATGAATTTTATTTTTTAAAATTATGAGTGAAGCCCAAAAGCAAGCTTCGTTGAACAATAATTTAAATGATTATTTTAAATTCACTAATTACACTATTATTAAGATGATCCTTTCTTGGCGCCATCTTGCACGCTCCACCAAAATTATAAGATTAAAAACTATATTTTTAAAGATTAACTAATATGTATAATATAAAGCATATTAATTGTATTTTTTTAAAGAATCATAATAAAAAATTAGTTATATTGCACGGATCAAATTACCTCTTAAAGGAGTAATTATTATTCTAAGAGGTCCTGAGTTCGAACACTAATAACTGCAATAGAGGTGATTGAGCGTTAATTGTCAAATGATTATAAAAATTTAGAACTGATACTATTTTATAATTGACTTAGTTTAATAAAAATATAGTAATATTTATTAGCTATTTTTTAATAGCAATGAGTTTTTCTTTTAAAAAGATATCGTTAATTACTATATTTTTAGTGAATTAAAGGATTTTAATTCACGTACTAAATGAGATATGAGTATTATTGATTTATAGTTAATTAGTTTTACATATAGTTTCACCATGTTCAAAAATCACTGTTTCAAATGAGAATAAATATGGTCCAAGGCAATGATCACACACTAAACATTTATCAATCATAGTGATGTATTCATTAGCACCACACAATTCAAACCAAAAAGGGAAATTATTTTCATCATTTGAAAATACACAACTTGGAAGTAGGATTAATTTAATCATTTCTGCAATTTTTTAATAATAAAAATATATAGTGTATTATTCATTAAGTGGTCTTATCCTTAAAAAAAATATCATTCTTCTTAGAAAGTAGATTTGAGTAATTACGTTTGTATAGACTGTATGCATTATGAATTAATTAAGAAAATTCTTACCGAATATTATATTGTAATACTAATATAAGTTTGCAAAAAGCCCATCCCATAGATGCATACCGTCTATTGCCCACAAAATTCAGCTGAGTGGAGCAAAAGATGTATTATTAATTGGTATGTAGTGGTTTTCCTTTATGATGTATATTTTCCCGTGACCGAGTCAAAAACAAAATAAGAGAATGGATATTTTGTCATATTAGGGGGACTGACATGCCCCCAGTATAGTCTCTCTCTATACTTCAGTAGAGAAACAAAACAGCTCATAGAGTGGCCCTTACCTTTGTCCCTCTACCTATATATACATCATCTATTGCTTTATTTTCTAATTGTCTCTCAAACTGTGATATTTTGGCCCTTTTCTCTTGTTTTAGTCTCAGTACCCCATCATCCTTTAATATTTATAGTGAATTATGGCAAAATTTAACCTATTAGGAAAACGTCTTAATTAGTATTTTTTTAAGCATCATATCTGTATTACGGGCATCGCCGTCGGCCCACCATGGCAAAAGCAGAGGGCATGCACGTGCTATTGCACGCAGCAAGGACGTCTCTTCATGGTTGCATTTATTTGCATAACATTTTGTCTCGTGCATTCGGTTTTTAGTACGTTATTATATTAAAAACTCTCATTGATTTTTTTATAGAATTACATCGCGTCCTATAAAATGTGTTTAATAGACCTCATGTTTTATAGAGAGTGAGACCCATCAATTTTTCAGATAAAATTATTTAATTTTGTATAAAAATAATAATAAATACATGAAACTTGCTTTACGTAAAATGAGATATTTGACATCGCTTTTTACAGAACACGAGGTCATCTTGCGTGATAGTTTTGGTGAATTTTTCTAACTAATTTAGTTTTAGGATATTTCTCAAAAAATAATAATGAGAATTTTTAATATAATAACACCTTTTTCAGGGATATCGTAGAAATAAAAAAATTATAAGGTCATTTATGAAATACTTAAAGAAACAAATTAAAATAAATAATAGACTTAATATGAAAATAAGTCAAGAAATATAATTTGGTGTCTAAATAATTTTTTAGATAAAAATAAGCATCTAACGTTTCCAATTACACTTTTAGGTGTCTGGAATGTAACGGCTGTTAAATTTGGTGTTATTTCACACGTGTCACGCATATAAAATTTAAAAATATAATATTTTAATTAAAAATTAAAAAACTCAAATTTTATATTTTTCATCACCGGTCGGTCATCTTCGGTATGTGGATGTCACCGTTGACAACATCATAACCGCCATTATGAAATTTCGCCGATTATCGTGAAAAACGTTGTGATGGATCGCCATATTTTTAAAAAAATTTGTTTAGGTTTTCCAACAATTTCGACGGCTACAATCGTCCGTACGTTACACGGTAGTCACCATTGTGTTCCACTTCGTATTCCAAACAAAATCCAATCGATGATAATAGTTCGATGTTGGAGGTGAGACGACAGGAGGGAGAGTGACGATGAGGGAGAATGGGGTTTGATTTTTAAAAAAATATTATTAAAAAGTTATAAAAATAAAAATATAGTGGAAGACACTTAAAAATGTAACGAAAAAAACGTTAGATACTTTTTTTAACGAAAAAAATTTTAGACATTAAATCTTATTTCAAAATATAACTTAAACACTTATTTTTGTATTAATAGTAGATAATATTTATCTCTAATTGAATACAATTTAGGTAAAGTCGTTCTATGTTACTCTAAATTGAGAGGCTCATCATGAAATTGAAAATTATATATAGTTGTCGATAACTTTATTAGAGTCGAAATAATTATCGATGACTTTAAATCTTGCAGTTCACATAGATTAAGTAAAAGAATTTAAAATTTTATAAAATTTAACACACGCCTACCAAAATTAACTTTGTAGTAATGTTGAAAATGCATGTATTTTTCCAGATGACAATTAAAGTTTTATCATTTCTCTTTCCACTTGCAACTTCAATTCGAATAGTCACTATTTCATTTGATATTATTGGCAATTTATTTTAAAAAAATATGATCCATTTACTTTATATATTCGAAAACAATACCCACATGTTCTTCTCATATATCTCACAGTGTGTTACATGAATTTTGATACCCATGTAATATTTTTTTTAACGATGGCAACTGGATCTTATTAATAATGGAAGGAATCAAAATTACAATACTTCAGAATAAAGAGATAAATTTGGAGACAATAATCACCAAAATACTCAAACAAAAGTAAATAATAAACCTAAGAAGAAAATTAAAACATTATACTGAGAATGACGACCAATATCAAAACCCAATAACTTTCATACAAACTCTTTGTCTCTGTCGAATGAGACGCTTGACGAAGTGATAAAAGAGCGGAGAGTAGGCTGCTTCGCTCCACAATTTTGATTACATCAGCAAACAACCTTTTACCAACAGAGGAGATCTGGCTATAAGTGACCACGACTAACCAATCAGAAAATAAATGTCGTGATGATTTTTGTGCGAGAACCAAAACGACCGCAAAAGTATTCGAAAAAATGTATTGAAAAATATGAGGATCATGCTACAAGAGCAGAGAAATCGCGTGCCACAAGAGTAGAGAAAAATTTTGTCACAAGGACAAAAATGCTTATTCAAAAGTAAAAAGACTGAAGAAAAACATAAAAACATCATATAAAACATAAGAGAACTAATATTTCTCGGCGGCTGACAACCAATATTAAAATTAGTGCCGTCGCTGGCTAAACAAAAAAAAAAAAAAAAAAGAAGAAGACGACACAAAAATATTGAAAGAAAACTAAGTTAAGAGAAAAAAGATGGGAAGGGTTTATACATTATATATTCATCTCAATTCATATATCATATCTTCTACCTTATACATTCATCTCAATTCATATATCTCCGAAGCACTTCTCTCATTTCTATTCCGTTACAAAACATGTCATTTCAATTATTATGATAAAATACGATCGAATTATGTTTTCTATGTCCAAATTTACACACCAATAATGATGTTAACATGTAAACTTATATTTAGAGCTCCCTTTTTTTCCTCATGAGGTGTCTTAAATACTCTTTAAAATAGAGAACACCACCCATGACTTCTCACAAGTCATTAAATTAAAATTACTAATAAAAATCAAACGTATAAAAGGCTAACCTTAACAAGCAAAATTTCTCAAGCTTCCGACGAACATTTTAAATAATTTCTCAAACATATAATCCTATCTAATGATCCATCTTCCTATATGTATATAATAAGTTCTTGTCCAATGACGTGACAATTGAAACGAAAACGCTAGAAGAAAAAAGAAAAGAGGAACACTGCGGTGTCGCTTTTGACCAAAGACCGAGCATTGGTTTCATTAACGTTAATTGGAGTTGTTCATCTCGGGGTTTACCTTTAGAGAGCATGCGTCACTTTGTCATGGACTTGGTCAAGCCAATTTCACCATTTGGCATGCTTTGATTTTTTGTTTTGGGTAAAATGAATCTCTGTTGGATTATTTAACGTTTATGCTCAAAGTAACTTGTTTAAAAAAGCTTTCGCCTTTTAATGGCTGCTTTTGTTAATTGCATCTTTAGACCAAGTGGCCGTGAGATCACTTCTCTTTTTCAAAGGTCAAAAAGGAAGACCCTTTTTGATCGGTTTTAAAGGCACTAAAGCTCCTTCTAAATGATGGGAAATGAGTATCAAGAGACCTTGGACTACGGAGTTTTCAAACTCCTTTAAGTAATCACCTTTGGCTTAAAGGTGTGCATGTGATGTAAGCACTTTAGGTATCAAATCACTATCATTATCACAACAAGATTATAATTTAACGCATCATTCTTTCTGTAGTTCAGAAATGTTTTCAAACAATGATATAAATAAGTGATATTTCAGTGGATTATTATTTTGCACCAAGGGTGTCGGACAACGTTTTATATTTTTTTTTATAAAAATAATCATGGAGTGTTGATACTTGAGATGTGTTTCATAAACATGAAGGTTGGGCATTGGAATTAGGGTGCAGAGGAAGCAGATTATGAAATTAGTCCGAGTATTATTGGGCTTAAATAATAGACCCAATTATCAACAGTATTAATTTGTTGGACACATGAAGCTAAGGAATTGATTGGCCCTAAACACTCCCCTGTCAGACCAAATTATTTTATTTTTGAAAGATTGAAAAGAGATTACAATCATTAGTTCTAAAATAAAAATACAAACCCTAAATACATCCATACAATAAAAATAATATAAAAGAATTATTAATAAAAGATAAATCAAATCAAATAAAAAATGTGCCTAATTATGATGCACGTCTAATTTTCATTATTATTATTTTTATTAAGATAAGATAGTTACAAAATAGTATCTACTCTAAATATTTTCAATAATTTGATAATGAACGCTCAATTACTCTTGCAATCACTGGTGTTTAAATTTATGACATCTAGAAATAGCAACAATTCATTTAACAAACGAGATAAGTTGATTGCTACTCCAATCTTCATTACTTTTCCAAAAGTTCTATATAACCATTGCATACTAAAAAACATGTTCCATTGCATTGTACAGATTGAATTGTAACCGACAGAGGTATTTCTTCAGCTGTAAAATTACTACATATTATTTTCTTCTATTAGTTTGATACGAATGTTAGGCATTGTTGGAGGGTGAGGTTCCCAAAACGGAACATCGAAACGGTTTGTTTGTTTGCTGTAATAAATACGGCTAAATACAAGATAATATTTGTTTAAATATAACTTTTAATCTTTTTGATATTAACGCTCATACCCTTATACCTATAGTACTCGAACTTTAAGTCTTCAAAAAATAATAATAATTTATTTACCAGATATTTTGTTGTTTCTCAAATCTAAATGCATCAAATTTGATAATCTCGTCATTGAAGCGGGAGTTCTTCCCGTTAACTGGTTGTCTGCGACATTTCAAACAGTGAGGCGCTTCAATCTCCCGATACCAGCAGGAATCTGTCCCGATATCTTGTTACCAATCAAATCAAGGATACGAAGGAATGGCAGACGGGTGATACATTTTGGAATCTGGGCTGTGATTCCTTTCCAATCGGCGATAGTTATACTGGAAAGGCGTGATAACTTGCATATTTCGGGAGAGATAAAACCGGTCCGGTGGGCTCTCTCGAAGATGGCATCTTCGGACTCGCCGCGGAGATTGATGTCGGCGACTCGATGTGTCTCTTGGTCGCAGCTAACGCCGTACCAGTTGTGGCAGCAATCGGTGCCTTTCCATGAGTTGAAGATGGCCAAGTGAGGCTCGTGGAGAGCTGCCTTGACTGCTAGTAGCGCCGGCCGATCCGACGGTCTTCATTATTGGTTTGCATGGGGAAGTGGGCATGTGCTTACGTTGTTTAATTACTATATTTAAAATAAACTTTAAATTGTTTATTTACGTTTGAAGAGAAAAATACCATATAAACAAGGATTCTCCTAAAATTCAGAACATGCTTACACTTTTTCATAAATCTACGTGTGGATAATCACGCAACAAACAATAATAAAATAAATCAAAAATCGTGATTTCAATTTTCCTTTACAATATTTTATAAATTATTTATAATTGATTAAATGGATATAAAATTAAACATTTTTTTTTGTATAAAGCTAAATACATTGTTAATGTTGTAGGTGAGGTGGTTCAACTAATACTTTAAGGATCAAAGTTTAAGCTCGTCCCTTCCTATTATAATTGTACAAGTAGACATCCTCTATCATGATTAACAAGCGCAGAGATGACACTTCATCAACGTATCTAATCAAATCCATTTAAATATATAATTGGCAAGCTTATGATAAGATTTGTTTTGTAATCAAAACCAGTGTCATCCAGGGGTGGACCGAGGGATAACGAGGGATACGATTGTTCTCTTTTAAGAGTTTAATATTTTTTTGTATTTTATATGAATTATTTAATTTCACACCCCTAATTACTTTATAATCTCGTACCCGTAAATTTTTTATATAATTGTTTATATTCATACCCTCTAAGGTCCTTTTTGTCATCCCGATCTTACCTTTTATTTGAAGGCTGGGGAAATTTGTTGTTTAATAGATTGCCATCCAAGAACTCAGCAAAACGATGCTACCTTTATTTTCTTTGATCAGAGTGTATTTAAATGGCAAAATTGCCTTTATATTAAATAATTATTCAAGGGATAAAATATTGTCTTTTTAGGGTTTTTAATGTGCCCCCGGTTATTAGGGTAGTCCCTCTTTAAGCTGTATATCGCCGCGTGGCTCCTAGTGATCCCCACATTGAGGAACAACATATACGATTTTAGATTAAAAAAATTTAAGCTGTTCAAATGATAATTCAATTTACCGATCAAATAGAATTATTTAAATTTTATTAATCGAATTATTTCTTATTAACTGTTAATTAAACTAATATTTTTTTTAAAATTTAACCGAACCAAACTAAGTTCTGTTAATTTATCGGTTAATTGAATTAATCAAAATTTATAAATAATATATATTATATATTAAAAAATTTTAGTTTATTCGGTTAATTAGTCGGTTAATTCGGTTAAAACTATGTTTAAACACCCATAAAGCTAAATAATGTGTATAACATATTAAAATATTTAATGATTTCGATTAATTTGGTTAATTAACCAATTTCTAACCGAATTAACTGAAATTGAAATTTAAAAAAATCTTTAACCATTAATTGAACAAATCTAAAATTAACTGATTGATTAATCTACCAAAATTTTGATTTAGCCAGTTAGTTCGGTTTTAACATAATACTCAACACCCCTAAAAATGCATTGTTACCGTACCTAAACCGATTTTCTATTTCTGAAAACAATTATTAAATTGTAGTTTATCCGAATTTGTCCTTTCCTCCAAAAAAAAAAAAAGTGAAGGTCAATTTTTTACTTGAATTTGATGCATTATCGTAATTAAATCTGTATATATAAATATGAAAATGAGACTTTCATAATCGTTTTAGATCATGGTATGACGGATTCTTTTTAAATATAAATTCAATTAAATAAAATTATAGCAAATCGAAATCTATATAATACAATAATTATAGTTTCTATTCCTAATATAATAATTAAAAAGATATGTTTAATGTATGAATCAAGCAATTTTAATGATTAAAAGAACGATTGTTATTTTTAGAGATCTTGAGTTAAAGTTTTAACAACTACAGAGTATTTAAACGTTCATTATCAAATGATTAAAAACTTTTAAAACATATATTATCAATTGTAATTACTCTATAAATTAATAAAAAATATGTTTAATTAATTTTTAATATGCTATTTACTATTAATCTTATAAATCATTATATATTACATAAATATATTAAACACATTTAATTTTAAAAAGAATAATCTTTTATAGAATTATATATCCACGTTTAGTTCAAAAACATTCCTATCAAGGGTAAAGAGGTATTGCCAACAGTGTTTTTCCCTTATATTCCTGAGAATCTCATTCCTCTGCAAATTTTAGGTATTTAACAATTTTCGTCAAATTGAAGAAAAATACCCTTAAAATAAAAGAAATATTTCAAAACTACCTTTAATTTTATGATTGCCATTTTAAGTTGCAACATATTTTATGATTGCACCACATTTTAAGTTGCAACTCCTTTTTATGTTACAACCTTTTTTAAGGTGATCAATTCTTTACATAGTATGACTCACATCCAACAGTAAATTTATAAATATTGCATAATTTTTTTATTATATTTTTTATTAATTTTGTCAAATAATTTATTTATGTAGAAATTTTTATTAAAATATAGAAATAATTTTATTAAAAATTAAATGTAATAATATATATTTTATTATTTTTATATAAATTTTATTAAAAATATATAAATTAGAAATAAAAAAGTATATTTTCTATTAGCTTTTCATTTGTTAAAAAACTATCTAAAAGGCAATTTGATAAAACATACATTTTTCTTATCTTATATTCATTTATCCAAACACTGTAATCTTATCTTCCTGTCAGATAAACCAAATAAGATAATATAATATTCATCTAAACACTGTAATCTTATCTTCATGTCAAATAAATCAAAAAATTTAATATAATATTCTCAATAATATGTTAAGTAATGCAATATTCCGGTAATCTTATTCCTAATGTTGAACTCAACTCCCATTAAATCTTTATTTTTTATTTTTGAATAAAAGCAATATTTTTTATAAATATATTATTTCGGGTCGAGTCGGGTTGAATTCATATTTTATCTTAAAATAAGGGCCGGGTTCGAATTGGGTGGAAGGTGTATAATTTTTGTGTCGGATGGATGTTATATAATTTTCGATTCGGGTCGGGTTGCCTGGAAACCCGACCCATTCTCATTCGTAGTTCTTCCTAAAGGTGCTGGTTCAAATTGGTACGTCTCCAGAATGTGTGTTATCAATCATTAAAAAATATTTTAAACAGATACTACCTCGTAATCGCTCTAAACTGTTAAAAAACACTTTAAATATCGATGTTTGCAAAATCTAATTTGCTTTAATACGTTTATTATTATTTACATTTGATAACACCTTTAACTACACGTATAGACTATCCATATTTACACACAGAAAGATCATTATCTCTCGAGAAGGAGCAATCTTTCTTAAAAAACATTTGGAATAATAAAAAGTTCTTGTTAAATTATATCTAAAACACTAGTAATTCAAAAGTTCCAGTTAAATATTCAAGTCTTAGACGTAAAGGCAAAAAAAAAAAAAAAAAGCAGTTGCATGAATTGATTGTTGAAAAAAAAAGCAGTTGCATCAAAAGATATTCAAAAGTTTCAGTTAAATATTCAAGTCTTGAAAAAAAACACTAGTAGTTCTTCGTAAAGGTGTCGGTTTAAACCTGAGTTGATTCAAGTGGTAAGCAGCTTGATATCGCTTAAGCAAGGTTTCAAGTTCGAGTCATTGTGTATGCAGAAAATCCCTACTGGGAGACTCACCCACCAAAACTAGGTGTGCGATGCGGGTTGATCCGAATTACTCAAGATGAAACCTTGAAACCGGAAGAAAAAAAAAAGGAAAAAAGAATCATTTGGTTATAATAATTAATACATTGTGCCTCCCTTTTATAAAGCATTAAACCCAATTTTTTGAGTATTAAAGGGAAGAACAAGAAGTGGTAGCAATAAAGAGCAAGACAATGTTAATATTATTTTGAAAAACCTTTTTTATGTAATGATCCAAAGGCTAAATCTTCCAAAAATAGTAGTCACAATAAGAAATAAAGAGATCTGATTATTGTAAGAATTTTGTATATCGAAATCAATTACTTAAATCAATAACTTCCCAATCTTGAAAAAAATAAAAAAACGTTAACTTTATTTGAAATGTAAATGAATATACCCATACATAGAGGCAACATGAGATTGAAGTTGACCAAGACCTTAAATAAGCAATTTTATATTGTTTTTATTCTATCCAATATTCTCTTGCCAAAGACGAGCAATAATTGTGATGTTTTTATCTCCTTCTTTGCCTAATGAAATTGAAGTTCCAAGTTCTGGACACTGAAAAGCAGCTGTGGTCCAACAAAGGGATGAATGAGTCCATTTTCTTTTGTGGGGGTAGTTCACATTCTCAACAACCCCCGTCTTTACTTCTTCGTATAGGACTCATCTACGTTCCCTCTGTTGGGTTCAGCTACCTAATAATATGAGTTTTAAGCCAAGTTAATTTTATTTTATTGATTAGTTTAAATATTAAAAAAAAAAGTTAAAAATAATGCTTTCTATGTAATAATAAGCTAGGACAAAGGTCATTATTGTCAAGTAACAACATTGGATGAATAAAACATGCTGAATGATTTTTGCATTTTAATTGTTTTGTTTTTCTATCTCACTTTACTGTGTCGCATCAACACCATAATCAGCCTTGAAACACATGTCAAGATGGAACTGAATAGAATAGAAAAGGATAAAATAAAATTAAATGAATCAGAGAGTGGGGAGAGACGGAGAGGTGGGGTGGTCTCATGTTGTGTTTCTGTGATTATATTGCTTTCATTGAGTGGCTTGCTTTCCTTTTTCTTATTTATTTACCTCATCGGTGTTATCTTTTTTAGCTCAAGTGCTCTGGTTTCACGAATACAAAAATGGGTTTCTTTCAGTTCTGATTGATTGTGAGTGAACAACTGTGTGTTGGAATATCTTTTCTGGGCCTCTGTTTTCCTCTGTTTTTGGAGATGGCCCAGCAGTGGTAGAACTTGAGTTTCAAGCCAATCAAATTCTTGGGGTTCAACTTAGAATAGATCCATATGATATTAAGTAATCTCTTGTTTCTCGGTGTTCACTTTATTGTGTTAGACGAGGCTTTCCGAGAAAAGTTTTTTCTAGAGCTACTTTCGTGGGAAACAAACAGAGGCTTTGGTTATTCCGAAGTGGGTCCTTCAACTCGATCTGAATTGATATCACCCGACAAAAGGAAATAAAGTCACTGATTTGGGGTTTTCCGATTCATTGCGAAATTGACAAGGAAGAAATGGAGTCAGATCTTCAACACTACCATCACCGTCTTATGGATTATCATCATCAACCTCAACACAATCAAAGACAGATGAACTCTGGGTTATCGAGGTACCAATCTGCACCCAGCTCGTTATTTTCCAATATCTTGGACAGGGATTTCTGCCAGGAGATTCTGAATCGACCTACGAGTCCCGAAACAGGACGAATAATCGCGAGGTTTTTGTCTAGCGGTGACGATGCTGCTGGCGGCGGTGGCGGTGATGCTAATACTGAGAATATTCCGGAGCAGAATCTTTGCACAGAAAGGCACAGTTCACCTGTTAATGAAACAGTGAAAATCGAGGAGCCAACGCAGATTATGACGCCAATGGATAATCAAACAGGGCTTATGCAGCAGCAGGCGAATTACTCCGCTGTTCCCCAGAATCTGTATCAAAGCCAACCTCAACAATATCTGCTAAATCAGCAACCAGGTTCAGCCATCGGCGGCGGCGGCGGCGGTAAATCGAATCTTAGTCGACACAGTAGCTCACCAGCAGGGTGGTTCTCCAAAATAAACGTGGAAAATAGTAAGTGCCCTCGTGTTTAGCTATAAAGTTTCATGGTAGTACTTACAGGAGCTTCTTTTCACAATATTTTTTCTGTTGTTTTTCGCTTTTACTCGTATTTTTAATTTAAAAATATATAAGAAATAATTAGTGAAAAAACCTTCTTTTAGTACCATGAGCTCATAATTGACTTCTTTTGTGGGTAAAAATAATGAATTTTTAATCTACTAGACCAATCAAATGAAGCAGACAGCGCCAGTACCAGGAGGAGTCAATCAAATTATGAACCAAAGATATTGAAAAATCACCATCTGCTCCGACTACTTTGTAAAAAATCTGAGAATTGACTGTGTAAGTGTAATGAAGTTGCAGGCTATGGAGCGATGAGAGGAATGGGAGATTATGGAAGCGTTAATAGCAGTAGCACGGAAGCAGCGTTCAATGCAGCCAGCAGACCACCGGTACCACCGCACTCTGGGCTGAAGCCTCCAATTCCTGATATGAGGAACAAAAATATGAGCTCAGAAAATTCTGGGTTTGGTGAAAATCGTCCCAACAATTACTCCTCAGGGTTTCCAGCCACTTCTTGGGACGAATCCATGATGATTTCTGATAACATGTCGGGCATAAAAAGACTCAGGGAAGATGATAGATCACTTTCAGGCGTGGACTTTGACGGAGCAGAAATCACGGTAGCACACATTTAACACAACGTCACGTCTTTTCCTTATATTCAATAATGTTCTCATCTGATTGTATTTTTTTATGTTGTTGTCAAAATAGAACTCCGACGACGGCAATCACCGTCCGCCGCCACTTTTGGCGCATCACTTGAGTTTACCAAAAAGTTCACCAGATATGTCTGCTATTGAGTTGTTGCAGTATCAGAATTCTGTTCCTTGTAAGATCCGGGCCAAGAGAGGCTGTGCCACACACCCTAGAAGCATTGCTGAGAGGGTAATATTTAGACCTGTACATCTTTCTCTTATTTTCCGTTTTGTGTTTAGGCCTCCCAATATAAATTTGACACGCATGATGCATACGAATTAAGTTGTCTGCTCCCTCTACGTATAATTTATATCATTACATGCAAATTAATGACTTTGTTTGCCAAAAATAGAACCTAAATTTTTGGTGGGTACATTCAGGTGAGAAGAACCAAAATAAGCGAGCGCATGAGGAAGCTACAAGACCTTGTTCCCAACATGGATAAGGTAACAAATTCTTCTTTCCAACTTTAGGGTAAAAAAATGGGGAAAAACCCACGTTTTCTTTCCATGTTTTGCAGCAAACAAACACGGCCGACATGCTAGATTTGGCCGTTGATTACATCAAAGACCTCCAGAAACAGGTGAAGGTAATGAACCCCAAAACCCACCAAGAAATAATTACAACAACGAGCCACCCCTTCTTGAATTCATTCATTTCACCCGTGTTTCAATATTTTCAGACACTCTTGGATAGTCGTGCAAAGTGTTCGTGTGCCTCACACCACCAGCAATAATAGTAGTAGCTAATAAAAGCAAAGTTTGTGGTGGTTGTGACCCTGGTTATCATGTTTGATGCATCCAGAACAACCATTACTTTGCAAAAAAAAAAAAAAAAAAGCAGATCCGAAAGCAGCTGACTCTTTTGCACTCAAAAGCAGGGGAAGGAAAAGGATATATATATAAACGCATTTTTGATGTGTGTTTGAAGAAGTGCAGGGGAAAAAGGTTGCTAAAAAGGTAGCTGAAGCCATATATGATATATGCTTATAGTATAACTGATCCAGCTGTACAGTAGGTAGTAAACAAGTGATTTTTGTGTTGTAATGATTATGTTTATGTAGGATTTTTTTAACATTTTAATTTGCAGCTAAATCTTATTTCCCGTGAGCCCTGGATTTTCCAATGCTCATAAATGTATTCTCATATTATGATCCAGATTTAATATGTTTTTTTAATATGATTTAACTAGTGTTTTGGTAGTATATGTGGGTGGCATTTGCTCCACCGTTTACATAGAATTTCTACGGATTAGTTGGGGGCATTAAGTTGATGGAACAGCACATGAAGGGGACCTGCCTACCATTTTCTATTGCGTCACTACGTCAAGAATTAGTGACACTCCTCTTATCCGTCACCCTTATTTATTCCATTTACTATTAGTTCCAATTTTTTCTTTCTCCATTAATGTCTAGCAGAATGCCTTCACATCCTTTCCTTTTTGCTTCAATTAATTTGGTTTGGATGAGCTGGATCCTTTGGGTATGTTTAAGCCCCACAACTTTAGGCCTCTAATGGTGAAATTGAATTTATGCATTCGTGGCCATATATGGGCATTTGTTTAAACATATAGTTTTTATATTAAAAAAAAGAATAACCCATGAAATAATAATAATTTTTGGTTGAGTTCATTGCCTTATTATATTATCCAAACATAACCACAAATTCATACATCTGTTTTGTCAATGCAATATTTACTCAAATGTTATTCAAACAATTTTCTTAATGCCAGCCACAATATCCTCCACCGTTCCCCCACTCCCTCTAAACTGACTATAGTTTCGTTCTTTCCAAATACTATATAAAAACCCAACCTAAGCTAACTTTAGGACACGAACTATCAATGATTTTCCCTTGAAAATTTTCACGATCCACTGTACAGAATCATCCCAATTCAGTTGTCTGTGATGGAGTCTACACGCCCGCATGATACTTCCCCAAACTTTGCAAGAAAAGGAGCAAGCAGTGAACAAATGGTTACTGTTCTTAATCTCTACACCACACAACAAACACTTACCATCAGTTGTCAACCCCATTCGAGCCAACCTATCCTTAGTTGGTAGCCCATCCAGCAAAATCATCAAAGCAATAATGGAATGTTTAGGGACATTCTAAGGAAACCAGATAGTCCTGCTCTCCCTAATCTTGTCTCAAATCGAATTACCATTATTCAGTTTCCAACTTGTGTCAGGACCAAATAAACCCCCTGCTTCAGCCCCAAGTTTAAGCAGTTTTCTAATAAGTTAGCTAAAATGACCTTTACATTCAATATATAAAAAAAGAGAAAATCGTCTCAGTGACAAAAAATGTCTTATAATATACGATTTTAACCAATTTTTTTTGGATTTGCCAAAATGACTAACAAAATCGCAATGCGATCTCTAATTCGCAACGCGATTTTCAGTATCGCAAATTCGCGTTGCATTTCGCGTTGCGGTGGTTGAAAATCGCGTTGCGATAGTCTACAGTGTCGTTGCGATTTTCCATTTCGCGTTGCGATAGTCTACAGTGTCGTTGCGATTTTCCATTTCGCGTTGCGATAGTCTACAGTGTTGTTACGATTTTCCATCTCGCGTTGCGATAGCATACAGTGTCGTTGCGATAGTCTATAGTAAATTTAAAAAAGATTTTGTTTCTCTAAAAAGATAGTATCCGCGCGGACGTGGTCGTGGTAATACGTGTCTTCGACACGTCCGCGCGGATACTATCTTTTTAGAAAAACAAAAACATTTTTTTTAATTTACTGTAGACTACTGCAATGAATTTGGAAAATCGCAACAACACTGTACACTATCGCAACGCGAAATGGAAAATCGCGTTGCGATTTTCAACTATCGCAACGCGAATTAGCGACGCGAATTAGCGATACTGGAGACCGCGTTGCGAATTAGAGATCGCATTACGATTTTGTTGGTCATTTTGGCAAATAAAAAAAATATTAAAATCATATATTATAAGACATTTTTAGTCACTGAATCACCCCTTTAAAGACATACACCCTAATCCAAGTCACTCAAAGGGAGCCATCATTGACAAAATATTCTGCAAATTATACACCTTATTCTAACAAAATGAACTTTTTAACGCTAGTCCCCCTCAGACTCTAGGAGACATACCTGCCACTAACTTACACGAGCACCCTTAGCAATTGAGTCACCATCCTTTTAGAAGAAACGTATACATGACTGTTTAACCTTCTGAACCACAGCCTTTGACAGATATTAGTATTAGTATTTAAATTTGATATATTTGGATGATTTTTTTATTACTGTATGTATGTATGTGTGTGTGTAAGTGCGGTTGAGAGTTAAGACATGAAAAGGGAAGTGATTAATTGATCACATGTTCTCAAATAAATTGCAGTAAGTAGGTATAATTGCTATTTATTGATTTCAAAAAAAAAAATCCATTTCCCCCTTATATATCAACCCATAAGTCGTATAACGATGGGAACCGTGGTTGATTTTTAACCATAGATAAGAATCGCGTCATCTACCATTATTGTAATTGTTTGTGTTTTCACTGTTTAAACTGTTATTTTTAATAGATAATAATTATAATTAATTATCACGGTCAACTTTCTTTAAGTTATTGTTAGTTTTTCTTTCTTTTTTATTGTTTTATTTTATTTATTAATTTTTCTCCAAGTTCAAATACCCATTTTGAATTGATTAAAAATGATAGATGATTGAACTAATAATTATCTTTATTTTGTATGTTTATTTTATAAATAATTAATATCTATCTCTCAAAATTTTATATTTAACTTTTTCCCCCTTGTACAAACAATCGAAACTCAATGAAAAGGTAAATACAAGTGTTAGAAAGTAACAATTATACCCAATTGTTAGGTCCAAAGACTTGACTTACACATGTCCCATACCCAAACCATAAAATATTTATTAAAAAATCAAAGGATGAGATTAACAGTAAAAAATGAAAAGAAATTCATTAAAAATTTTAATAAAAAATTAATCTCAATCTTTGATTTTCTTCAATCCAGTAATCCTAAAAAAATGTAAAATTTATAATTGTAAGTCAACCCTAACTCTTTATATGACATAAAATATGAACAAGACTAATAGACCAAATATAAAACCTTAAAAATATCCGTGAATAAAGCGACAAAACCTTTGAATGTCCTCCATGTTTAATTCGGTAATGATTGTTGCATGGCTGTTGATTATTGAACAATTGGAAAACTTTTTGCACGTGGAGGTTTACTTCAAGAGATGGTAACTGCCTTAAAACTTGTAATTTCATGCATTTAGGTAAATTAATTTCCTACAAAACAAGTTTTGGAGAACAGCGAAGTCCAATGTATGCTATTTAGGTAAATTAATTTCAAGAGTTGGCGCCACGCAGGCAAAGCGAGGATTACCATTCGCGCCTTCGCGGGGAAAACTAACATGCGACGGAAGACAAAAATATTCACCTTGAATTATTGGGTACTCCATTATTACTCGAGCCTTAAAACTCGACGACTCACTCATCCCCCTCTCCTATAAATACCCCGAATGCAAACATCAAACCACACCAAAATTACTTTCACATTCTTTCTTTTATCAAGCAAAATATATTTTATTATAGTTCTTAGAAGGTAAAAATATTTTTTATTATATTATATTTATTTTTTATTTAATTATTTGACTACAATTTTTTGTACTAATTATTTCATATTACTTTTTGTAGTTGTAAAATGGAGAGCGGAATCAAATCTTGAGATATTTGAACATCACTAAGTAATAGACTACTCAAGTAAAAACTGTGAAAACATCGACATCAATGACTGCGAAAACTGGGTCAAAGGCGTCTTAGTCTGCGGTAAAGCATCACCCGCCAAATAAGCAGCATATGAAGCCCACGCTGGATCAACAAGAATGTAACTATAATATCCGTAAGGAGGTGTCATAAAACCCTGCAGCGTTGGCATATGAATCGGCTGTGGTGGCGTCTGAAATGACTGTGGTGGCATCTGAAACTGTTGTGGAATGTAAACCGATATAGAAGATGGTTGCTATGTGGAATGTAAACCGTTCGTGTTGAACCACTAATGATAGTCACCTGCAACCGAATAATGATCCACATAAATCGGCTCCCTACGGGGAATACGTCAACGTCGATCCTCCCAGATCATTACCTACTCGTTGTGCTTCATCAACCAGTTGACTTATTTTTTTGCCCCATCTATCGATGTTATGCAAATTGTCGAGATTCCTAGGTGCTTAAGGAATATATTGTACGAAATCAAATTAACAGAGCGCGCGATTAGTGGATGCCACTCGACAGTAGCATAATATATCAGAGGGACCACCGTCATCCATACATCTAATGGATCACTCAAGTGAGGTGAGATGCAATGTCTCATTTCTTCAATAACATAAGGAGTCCATTGAAACTAAAACAAATATATATAATTATTATCAAAATAACATTTTAATTATATAACGATAATTAAAGGTAAGTGATAAAATTTAAATACATACCCGTGTACCAACATTTTGATAAATGAGTATTCAAATTTCTTCTAATTCGTTTGGTATATCACAATGATATTTCCTTACACATTACCACCTATTCAGTGTAAAAAAACTTTCATTATATACTCAAAAAAATTATTTATATATGAACTCAATATTGAAATTACTTCAACAATAACGGGAAGACTAACGAGTTTTTCATGACCGGACATAAAAAAGGCATGCAATACCACGCCCATGACTGTATAAGAATGAGACATCCACCGATAGCATTTTTTTCGATAATCAATTGCTCAATACATTTCTCTATATATAGATGCCAAAATCGTGGAGCCCTAACTGAATGAGCCGACAACTCGA